GAGACCTTATCACTCCCTGCAACTGCCTGTGGCGAGGTGGGGGTCAGTGTCTTCTCCCAAGTAACAAACAACAGAACAAGAGCAGATGGCCTCAAGCTGCACCAGGGGAGGTTTAATTTGTATATGAGGAACAATTACTTCACTGAAATGGTGATCAGGCATTGGAACAGGCTGCTTAGGAAAGCGGTGGAATCACTGGCCCGGGAAGGGTTCAAAAAATGTGTGGATATGGCACCCAGGGATATGGTCTAGTGGTGAACACAGCGGTGCTGGAGTAACAACTAGACTCAATGATCTTAGAGGTCTTTTCCAACCTTAAAAATTCAATGACCACCAGCCCAAATCACAATTACTGATCATAAACTCTATGACACTGATGATACGAGGAATGGGTGTGCATGCTTTTACAAGCAACTAGATAACCGGAAAGAACCAATCAGGTTCTGGAAGAATGGGTGTAGGGGAGATATGTAGCACGCAGACCTCTGAAAGGTTGTATTTTCCTAGTAACTCATCCAAAGGGAAAAGTCGGAGGGTGTTTAGAATTAATGGAGGCTGTGTGTGCTAAAAACTGGAGAGACCCTAGATGGGTACGCCTCAGTGGAATCTCCCGAGTTTTCAGTAAAGTCGATTTTTGCAGGACTCCTCTGTCTCGTTTGTGTGCTCGGGCTTTGGCAGCATGATATTCTGCACACTGTAAATGGCTGTGGACTTGCCCCTGGTTTATCTGCCTGGAGGAGCTCTTCCACTACTGTTGTGAGGTTACGAGTGTCAAAGACAAACACTACAGAAGCGACCCTGGCCAGCCACAAGGAGAAGCTCTGGCACACAGTTATGCCGTGTGGAACACCTGCTGTGGGTCTCTCGGCAGCACTTTCTACACGCCCCATCACCCCCCTGCCCGGTGAGAGCCACCCTGTTGTCCTTCCGTGCTCAGTTACTGCGGGCACAGGTGAAACAGGCCCTAATCCTGAAATCCTGTGTCAGCATTGAAACGGATCCGTGGCTTTGACACGCCAACTATACCTGTCCTGTGCATTTAGTAGATGTTTAACACGTGCAAGGCATTGGACGCGTAATGTTAGCGAACATCTGCAATCCCGATGAGCACAGGGCTGCGAGTCCCCCTGAAAATCCGGCTTGTAAAGCACCGTCCCCAGCACTGCACCCCGAGCTCTGGGGCAACGCCGCGCCATCTCCCAGCCTCGCCACCGCCCGTGCGGGACGGAACTGGCGGGGCCCGGCCCGGCGGCGGAGCGGGGGGAGCGGGGCCCGGCGGCGGAGCGGGGCCCGGCGGCGGAGCGGGGGGAGCGGGGCCCGGCGGCGGAGCGGGGGGAGCGGGGGGAGCGGGGCCCGGCGGCGGAGCGGGGGGAGCGGGGCCCGGCGGCGGAGCGGGGCCCGGCAGCGGAGCGGGGCCCGGCGGCGGAGCGGGGCCCGGCGGCGGAGCGGGGCCCGGCGGCGGAGCGGGGGGAGCGGGGCCCGGCGGCGGAGCGGGGGGAGCGGGGCCCGGCGGCGGAGCGGGGCCCGGCGGCGGAGCGGGGGGAGCGGGGCCCGGCGGCGGAGCGGGGCTCAGCGCTCCCGGCCGGGCCGCAGGGGGCGGGCCGGGCCCGGCGCCTCTCGCCCGGGCGCAGGCGCCGCCGTGGGCCCGCGGCGGAGGCAGCTCGCCCCGGCACGGCGGCTCAATGCGCTGCCAGGTAGGTGCCGCCAGCCGGAGCCCCGGGCCGGCGCGGGCAGAGGCTTGGCCGGTGCCGGGCAGGGCGGCGGGGCTCCCGCTGTCCCTGGCTCCGACGGGCAGCGGGAGCGGCCTGGACGGCGGGCGCGGATCGCGGGCACTCGCCGCCCCCGCCCGCTCCCCTTTCCGCGCTGACCTGACAGCCGGGACAGGAGACAGCGGCTGAGCCGATCGGCATCGAGACGAGCATGGGAAAGGTTTCCCTGGCGCTCTGGTTGGGGTTGCGTGTGGGTATTTTGGGAGCGGTGTCCGGGCAGGCCCGCGGCCTGAGCGCCGTTTGCCCCGGCAGGTTTCGGTGCTGTATTTCGCCAGGAGCGCGGAGCTGGCGGGGCTGCGCTGCGAGACCCTCTCGGTGCCACGGGAGATCACCTCTCTGCAGCTCTGGGAGGAGATCGTCAAGGTCCACCCCAGGTATGCAGCCATTTACCCCTGAGGTGCACAAAGCAACGTGGATTTTAAAAAATATGTTTGCAATGTAAATTCGGTGTTTAGCATTGGGCTGGAGCACATAGCAGTACTTCAACAGCACAAAAACAGTGGTGTTACCTTCTTTTGGTGACCCGCCCCAAATGTTTTGTGTTTTGCACAGCTGGAAGTGTTATAGCTTTATGCATACAGAAGGAAAGCCTAAGTGCAGGAGATGTACCCAAAACTGGGCCTGAGAGTGCACGTGGCCCATTGTCCAGGAGGGCTGTGGTGTACTAACCTGCAAACTACTATGTTTTTAGTCTTTGGAGAAGATGAGATGTTGCAAGGAAATATCAAGCATGGTCAGGAACAATAAATGAGAAATAAATGATAATAGGCGAGCTTTTCCAATTGCTTAGGTTAGCCATTAGGAAGTTCTTCATTGACAGGATGCAAAGACATTGGAACGGGCTGCCCAGGGAGGTGGTGGAGTCACTTTCCATGAAGATTTTTAAAGAAAGATTGGACTTTGTGCCATGGTCTGGTTGACATGGTGATGTCCAGTCATAAGTTGAACTTGATCATCTTAGAGTACTTTTCAAACTTAGTTGATTCTGTGATTAACTGCACTGTAAGCCATTGGTCTGAGCCTATGTCACACTCTGCAATTCAAATCATGAAGGGAGATGAAGCCTCCACAATTTTTCAGCCACTCAGCCCTGATACAACAAATATGTTCAGCCACTTCAATGCTCTGAAAAAGACCCACACTTCTGCTTGCATTTCATAAAGGGTCTGGTCCTGAGAAAGTACTGTGTATGCTGTAAGGGTCTCAGCAGCATTGGTGCTCTTGGGAGTGTCAACAAAAATGTCCCCTCTGTTTAAAGCTGAGGGAATGTGCTCAGTCCTGTCAAGAAATAGTCTGAGGGACAAGGGTGAGCACCATTTTGTAGGGATAGAAGAGGGTAAAAAAAAGTGAGGTATAAAAGAGGTTGTGGTCCTCAGAATTTAGTACTAAGTGCTCTGTAATAAATAAATAAATAAATAAATAAATAAATAAATAAATAACTTTGCACATAGGTGTCCAAGTCTTCCTTTAGGCACAATCTTTCTTTAGTAAAATGCTCTCAAACACCGTGAAAAAAAATGAACTATTTAACATTGGTATCTGTTTCCAAGTGAAAAACTCTTCACAAAACACTGCACCAGGGACCGTTTCCTCACAGAGAATTGAAATAGTGTGTTTGGGTGCTAGAGGCAGTAGGGAATGTGTGTATTTTACTTTGCAGCCTTTTCGTCTATGTCAGAAGCAGCAGCAGTACCATTGGTCGTTTTGCTGTAATTTGTCAACTTTGTCCTTTTATGAATGATGACTTGGGGCAGTAGAATTTTCTGGAAAAACTCAATATAATTGTAGGGCATTGACCACAGACTTCTATTCATGTTGCTAATGGATATTCAAATTGGAGCTTGAGTGTACTTGACAGTGCTTTTCTGTTCCACACATTTTACCCAACTAATTAGCTTGCAAGGGACTTTAATTAGAGCCCATCCTTCTAATGGGCACTTCAGTTTCATGGAAGTGCACAGTTCTTTAGTGGCTTGCTTTGCTTTCATACAATCCCTCCCTTCAGTCTGTTCTCTGAATCACTGCTACTGTGTTTTGTCAAGCCTTTGCCTTGACTACTTTTGTCTATCTGGCTTGTAGGAAACAAGATGATTTTTACTTGTACTCTTTTGGTCTGCTTACTTGTTTCTAGGTGATACAGCTGAGCTGGCTGTGCCAGGTTTTGTATTCTCAAACAAGAACTGTTATCATGCCTGCACCATCTGAAGTAAAATGCAATTCTTTTTTCTACTGTCTTACTGCTATGGCCCTCATGCTTGCTATGTAATTGCGCTTAGTCATTGAAATGATTCCCTGCCTCATGATGTCCAGAACTATGGACTGTCACAGCAATATCTCATGTAAAAAATATGTACAAGATGTGCCAGAAAACACATCACATTTGCTCTCTTAGTTCTATGGGCACTCCTTATCAATAGCAGATTTCAGATCTGTAAGTACAAAAGACCCAAAATTTCACAAAGTCTAAGCACATACAAGAGCAACTCTCTGACCACTGAATCTTCATGACATCTCATGAACAGCATACCAAAATGCTTCTTGGTGTGTAAGAAAATTGTTTGAGTCCTGCCAGACTGCATCAAGACAGTATTTCCTTCTAATCCTGAATTGGATGGTTGCTGCCTCTTGAGTTACCAACTTTTTTATTGTAAGCTTCTGAAGTGGGTCTGATATGGATTGGCTTGTTCTGACATAGGCCTATGACAAATCCAGTTCCTGATTTCTGAAAATTATACTGATCTCATTTTTTCTTAGCCATTACAAGAAAATCCAAGATTAGGAGGTGGGTGTTTGTTTGTATTTTTAACAGTGTCTTGGAAGTGAATTTGTATAAGTCTCAGTGGTTTTTACCTCAGCTGGCCTATACTGTGCACCAGTTTGCTGTTTAATGAAATCTCATGGCTAAATGCAAACATTGATTGGAAATGTATTTGTGCTCTTGGCAATCCCCCTCAGGCTTGCTGTCATCCGGGATCAAGTGGTATTTGCTGTTCGGCAGGAGTACGTGCTTCTTGGAGATCAGCTTCTGGTCCTGCAGCCTGGAGACGAGATTGCCATCATCCCACCAATTAGTGGAGGCTGAACCTGCCCAGGTTCTCTTAGGTAAGTATCACTTACTGACTAGTTTCCTGTGGAGTGTAGTGCTAAAATACCTCATGGATTCTGTGTGATTTTACAAGAACCTTTTCTTGTTTAGATCTGAAGATGTGATTGCAATTCTCTCCCTTCACCCCAGTAATCTTTTGAGAAAACCCAACTTGTGTTTCCGTCTGGTGAGTGCAGTTGTGCTGAGCGGAAACTATTAGCCAGTGCACCAGTAAATGATTAACATGTATGCAGTAAATGGAAGACATTTGCAAGAGAGGTCAGGCATTGCTTTGAATCTGGGTTTTAGGTCTTGTTACTCTTTCATGGTTGTTTCTTCCTACCAGTGGAAACTTGGCTTGCTTATACAAGATAATAATGAAAAATTTCCTTCCACTTTTTAACAGAAAAGATAATAAAGTAAAAATAATTGACTGCTGCTTAGGAATTTTGTTAGTTTGTTGCTGGTAAAAAGGTGTCCTTAGAATAGCTTAATTTCTTTGCCTGCTTTCAAGTGGCAGTCCATCTATTCACTATAGCTTGTTCCATTGTTGCTGATCAGATTACTTCTCATTCCTAGGTGATCTGATGACTGGCTTCTACCCAGAAAAGTTAGAAATGTCTCCTGTGTGTCTGTAATAGATAGTACAAGGTCCTGAATGTCCTGGAGAGCATACTCAGCTTTAGGATTAGAACTCTAATCCATGTTTATCAGAAATCTCTGTTTTAAACTGCTTGATTTGATAAGTAGGAGGGACTGACAATATCATCACAGATTTACCAGCACTACACAGTGGTTTGTGCTAGTTGAATGTACTGTTAAACCAGGGCCTCGGGCTAATTATAATTTCCTCCCACTGTACCAGACTTTCCTATCAGAAAAAAAATATGTTTGCAATAAAACCAAGACTTTGCTTGTTATTTGTTGTTAATATTCTCTCAGTGAGGCTCCTGAGAAGTGAATTTCACATATAGACTAGTCTTTTGGGCAAATAGATAGTGCCTGTGTTGTGCATAAATTCAGGCATGAGCAGTGGATAAAAAGTTGTCTGATGCTAGTATCTCCGGGAACAACAACAGAGTCTGTCTGGTTTCAGTTTTTCTGTTGTGATATGGAAGAAAGCGAAGACGTGCCAAAAGATTTTATCAAGCTCAAGTCTGAAAAGCTCTCTGTTGATGAAGTGTCAGAGCTGGTTGTTTCACCATACTGTGGGGCAGTGTCTCTGTTCGTTGGTGAGTTTATTATCTCTGAGCTAAGTCACTGGATATGTTACTAGTCTAATAAATGTAACTTACTTAGTCCACATCCCAGACTTGTAGTTCTCAAATAAATCAGTTCCTGCTCTGAGCCCATTATGTTTAGAAAACATGTTCTGAATCACTAGAACAAGACCATGGACTAAAGTGGTGTGGAACTTTCTGGCTGGTATGGCTATCATAGGACTGAACAGAACAGTAGCTTTGAAGTAGAGAATAGCCTGGGAGTTGTTCCCCTGTCCCCTGGATACTTGTTCAGGGTGGGAAATGAAATATTGTGGCTATGCCAACTATATGTCCACACCTGTATGTGAGGTCCTGTAACTCAGGTCTTGAAAGTGAAGTCCTCTTCTACCAATGGGCTGGTGAAGATCAGGCTGCTAGCTCTGTTACCATGCTTAATGTACATGGCACACATATGAAACTGCTCTGTGCTTAAACCCTAGTGCTACTAGGTGCCTAAATACTGGGTATTTAAAAATTACATGAGCAAATGCCATTATAGCACCTTAGCAGTTACCACAGAAGATGTCCCAGCCTTGGGCATTGTGGGCTACAGACCTGTATAATGTGTAAACTAAATTCTTCCTTATATAGTAAAGATTTATCTTGTTCAAATAATCTCATTTTGCAGTCATGATTAGGGGAGGTTGTTTATACAGTGCTGACCTTGACCATAGCAACAGATTCTGGGTTTTTCCTCTGTATTAATATAATATATGAGGTGTATTACAAAGGTACAATATGTATTCATTTTTGTTTAGGTACTACAAGAAATAATTTTGAAGGAAAAAAAGTGATTCACTTAGAATATGAAGCATATACTTCAATGGCAGAAACTGAAATGAAGAAAATCTGCAGAGATGTTAGACAGAAATGGCCTTCAGTCAAACATATTGCAGTGCACCACAGACTTGGGTATGCATGTCCAGACCCATTTCTTCTGCAACTGGAGTATCAGTCCTTGTCTGCTGCATGGCTCTGCTTACGTAGTTGCAGAACCCACAGGAGTGTTTAGAACCCATAGTGCAGCAAGGCTGGCTGCAGGATCAAGCTCTTGCTCTGGAGCTAAAAATTTTGTTTTCAAAAATGTGTTTATTTAGGTTTATGTATTTATTGAGATAGGGTTTGCTGGAGTCCACACTTAGCCTGGAAAGATGTTTGATGCTGATATGATGTTTTGAAAGTGGGGAGATATTTCACCCTAGGGAAGGGGAGGCTTTTGGTTTATTTTGTTATTTATTTTTTAAAGGTGTGAAGTTGGCAGCACTTTCTTTTTTCTCCTCTCTCCTGTTGAGGAGCTGCAGAATGTTCTTATTGTCAAATTTTATTCTAGTTGTGCTACAAAATGTCTGGAAGCTTAGGCTGTGGGGCGTAGTAATTGCCAGCCTCCTGTTGTTCCTTGAATCTTGGATAAGCATATTCCTTTTGATTCAAAACGTGGAATACTGGTGTCTGACATACTCTTGGGCCTTCCCAGTTCAGGGAAGATTTCTTGCTGAAACTAGCAGGATTTGCAGAAATCCTGAAGGAACTTGGGATGTGATTGCAAAGGGTAAGTAAGATAAAAGACCTGAGGGGTAGTTTCCCTAGATTTCCTTTATAGTCAACAGAGAGGGTGGCTGTCATGAGGGCAGCTCAAAGCATTTATGCTGAGATTTCTTCCTGTGGGCTGTGTTGAAGGAGTCTTACTATAGAGGGAGGATTGGGAGTCAGATTTTGGGAATGCTACAACTGCAAGGAGAAACATGGAACCTTGTGCTTCTGTTAAGTTTAACACAGCACACCAACTAAGAAACGAGAATCTAAAATCAGAATTAATCAAAAATTTGGTTTCATTTCAAAATATGCATAGTATGAGGCACTTAATTTCTTCTTTCACAAATTTTTGTGCAAACTGAGATGATTTCTTAGGTTTTTAGATACAAACTGGCTGTTCTAACTTGTTATTGTTCATTATTAAGCCAGCTTCCAGTGAGTTTCCTATGCATTGTTACAAGTTAACAATTTCCCCTTCTTAATTCCATAGGCTTAATTTTAAAAAAAGAAAGAATGGAAGAAAAAAAGCCTATGTCTGGTGGGTTTACTTATTTTAAAGTGTGGAATTCTAACATCTGGTACTGATTTTGGATGTGGTTTTCTTTCTTTAAAAAGTATAATCTTTTGGATGTGGTTTGACACTTGCTCAGTATGAATGAGTCAGGAGAGCATGTGGCCAGAATACGGACGTGACATGGCTGCAACTTTTGGGTGTTCTTGATGTTGAGTGTTAGCTAAAGCTGCTGTTGTTCCTCTTCTCTCCCTAGTGTGGTTCCAGTAACTGAAGCAAGTGTAATTATTGCAGTCTCCTCTCCACACAGAGCAGAATCCCTTGAAGCTGTAATGTACTGCATCAATACCTTAAAAGCATCTGTCCCAATATGGAAAAAGGTATGTCTGGGGACAAAATCAAATTTAAGCCTATCTAGTCTTAGATGTCTGGGCTGCCTTAGCAGCATTCCAGGCAGCAGCAGCTGGTCCTGATGGGTTGGCAGTGTCTAGCACCAGTGAGTTTCTTCTACTGTAGCCAGGCTCATATACAGGAGGTAGAGCCTCTGGAAGGTTCTCCTGCACTTGTACCATCTAGCTCCTCTTTATTTTGGAGCCATCCTAGGGTGAAAGCGAAGGAGGCCTGAGCTGTCCTCTTTTGAGTAGCAAAACTCAGTTCTGCACAGGCTTGTGAAAGAATTTGAGTCAGCTTTGCTTTGGACAGCATTTCAGTTTGGAAGTAAAAGGAGCATTTCTTGCCATTCTCTTTGCCCCTCCTCACTGTGGCCATGAGAAAGCTCTGAGCACTAAGCAACAGTGCACAATGAAGGGATGAGCAGAAGTCCCAAAGCTAGTATAGGCACACAACACTGTGTGGAGAAACTACCCCAAGTCTAGAAAGAGCCTCATTGTATAACCTCAGTGTTGCATGCAAATAATGAGCATTATGTCTATCTGTGTCCTCTACCTGGCAGAGCTTGGCATGTGGTTAACAGTGATATTCCCCACATTACTTCACTTTTCTTTACCTCCTTGAGGGGATGGAAGTTCTCTCAGAATAAATTAACAGGGACTCAGAATTTGCTGCTTAGGACTGGACTGCAACTGGGTAATCCAGTCTGTCCTTAAGATCTATTAGTAGTTTATTTAGTGTATTAATATAATTTTTATTTTAATATTGACATTTTGTTACATCTAAATTCTCATCTCAAAACAATGGTACAGTAGGTTAATGTAGCAGCATAAATGCTGTGTACTCTACAGCTATTACGTAATTTCTTCTAGATCTCTGTTGAATTGACTTCAGCATAGGTAGGCCCTTTTAAACTCAGTAGGGAACAGCCTGGGGTTCAGCCAAATCTGTATGTTCTAAGGGTGCTGCCGTCTCTTCTGCTTGCCAGCCAAGTGCTGTGCAGTCCTCATGTGATCAGTAAATAATAGTGGGATGGCTATTGAGTAGTTTGGCCTGGTTTGTAACTGTATGTAGCAGACTCACAACATTTCCCATTCTTTGTTTATATTACAGGAGATTTATGAGGATGAATATTCTTGGAAAGAAAACAAGGAATGCTTTTGGGCAAATTCAGAAAAATAATTGTACTCTTTTGAAAATAAAGTGTCACTCTTCCTAATGAGCATAGTTACTTTTGAGTTTTTACAGAGAATCTCTGTTTCTAAACGATCCAATAGATATTTAAATCTCAATCATTTAGTTTGGACTGAGTGAAGTGAATAAAGATTAATTAGGGATTTTAGGTGTCTTGACTGTCCTTTGGAATTGCCTTTTTGTGCATTTTAACATGGAGTTGGTTTTTAAAAGAATCTTCCCTAAAATTCTTTGTTGCAGCGTTTAGACTACTCTGTGATAAATACTGTTCTAATGCTTTTACTTTGCTGGTCTGTGTTCTCTGTCTGCATGGGAGGTCAGCATGGGACAATTAAAGTTCAGAGAGGTTTAATTTTATATGACTACAGAATTAAGTTTGCAAGCTTTATGCTATTTTGGCATTCTTCTAATGTGAAAGGTACTTGAAGTAGATGAACTATTTTAGTGCAAAGAAAATATAAACTATACCCCAGAGTTACTAACTGTTTAGTAGTGCTTATGTTCCAGCAGCTCTGTCTCACAGAATGATTTTTACCATGCAGATGGTATTACGAGTCCATTACATTAAAAATATATGAATAGAGATTGATTCAAAATTAAAGCTAGTACTCTACCAGCAAAAATAATTGCCTTAGCAATAACATGTCAATCTGTAACTACTTAATGATGTCTAGACAAAATTTTGAAGGTGACTTTTTGGTTGTGTAGTTGTGTGGTGCTCCACGAATTAAAACCCAAACCAAATATTAATTACAAATACACAACAATGGTGTAATTAGCTTCAGTAATTTGACTTCATATGTGTGGGGATTAAAAGTCTTCAAATGGAATAGTTTTTCAAAGAAAAGGGAGTTTATTGAACTTGCTGCAATTCATATATGCATTTATATTCACATTTAAGATTTAATCTTATTACAGTTTTTCTCTTGTTACTGTTTTGAAAACTGGTTAAATGAACTGACATAATATGCTTGGGTTTCACTGGAAATATCAGGTTACCTGTCTGAGCAAGGTAATTTTATTTGTTATTCTACATTGCCATGGTAGTGTTTAGATGTTAAGAGTTTGAAGTCCCATTGTGTATGGCATTTCTGCTAATGCTGAGAGGCAGTGTTACCTAGTTATCATTATCAGTGTAGACAAGCTAGATAAAAGTGAAGGAAAATAAGGTAATGCAAAATTATTTGCTCAGTTGCTCATATATCTGTTTCTACATCATATATAGTTATTTATAATCCAGGTGGCAAGGTCATACTCCTGAGTCAGAGCAATCCTAATCACAAATACAAGCTGGAGGGAGAGTGGATCAAGACTTGCACTGGGGAGAAGCACTTGACGGTATTTGTGAACAAAAAGCTCAGTATGAGCTGGCAACGTGCACTTGCAGCCCAGAAATCCGGTTCTGTCCTGGGCTGCATCAAAAGCAATGGGGCCAGCAGGTCAAAGGGTTTGATTGTGCTCCTCTGCTGTGCTCTCAAGAGACCCCACTGGAGCACTGCACCTGGTTCTGGAGCCCCCAGCTCAAGAAGTGTTGCTGTTATGAGTCCAGAGGAGGGCCACTAAGTTCATCTAAGAGGACTATAACACGCCTCCTATGAAGACAGGCTGGGAGCTTGGGTTTTTCAGCTTGCAGAAGGTTCCAGGGAAACCTTACATCACCTTTCAGTACCTAAAGGGGCCTGACAATAAGTTTGGAGGGGGAATTATCACAACAACATGTAGTGATAGGACAAGGGGGAATGCCTTTAAGCTGATCTGAGGGTAGGTTTAGATCAGCTATTAGGAAGAAATTCTTTACTGTGAGGGGGGTGAAGCATTGGCACAAGTTGCCCAAATAAGCTGTGGATGCCGCTTCCCTGGAAATGTTCAAGGTCAGCCTGCATAGGGCTGTGAGTAACCTGGTCTAGTGGAAGGTGTCCCAGCCTCTTATCAGGACAGCTGCAACTAGATAATCTGTAAGGTCCCTTTCAAACCAAACCAGTCTTTGATTCTGTAATCATTACATCACGCACCAGTGAAGCCTCAGCTGTATATTCCATTTTATTCTGTCTGCAGTAAAAATCTACTAACAGTTTCTAGCTGCATAAAGTAAAATGAGGACATTAGGTGATGATCTTTTCCCCCCCCAGGGATTTGAATCACTTTTAATGCTTAGTTACTGTATCTGAAATAAATTGTAAAGAAACATACAGCTTCAGGCAGAGACATCATTTAACTGTGCTTATTAACTTACTGATGTACTTTCCTCAAGTGTAACTCAGTCCTTCATCTGCAGGACAGCAGCTGCTCCTTGCGTGTTTGCAGATGCACACTCTACAAGCCATGTGGGCTCTATTATCTAGGCAGAGCTGGTCAAGTACAAGACTGAGTTTTCCTTTATTTTGGAGGTTGGAGAGAAGCCCTCTGCTGTTTGAGTGTAATTTTTCATAGGAATTGTACAGAATACAATCACTTGCTCTGTGAAACAATTATTTTTCACTTTAGAAGAGAAAGAAATACATGAACTTTTTCATATTTGGTGTTCATTTTTCCATGTTTATGTTTCCTGTTACCATGCAACTAATTAGTGTGTTTAATTTCACAAAAATAAATGTTCAGCTTGTTTTTCAGTGGATATTTTATGAATTAAGTAAAACTTTTGCAGTGGTTCCATTACTAGTGTTGTGCTCTGATACAGAAAATCAATGGAATATCTTAGTTACCATTGTTAAATTCTACTTGGTTCTTCATGATCAGGGGCAATTCCTGAGTTGCAGTAGTGTCTCTTTAGTGCCTTTCTAGCACTGCAGTCTCCTGGAAGATTTTTCCAGGGTGACCTTAAGTGCACCTTCCCCATCAGCAATGCAGCTGGGAAGGAGGATGCAGAAAAGAAGAGAGAATAATTGTATACTTCCCCACAGTGACCAGGAACAATGAATGGAAGAGATGTTGTACTTAGTCACAGCTGAGTGTTACAATGTGTGTATGCTGCCATGGTAGAGACAATGAAATGTCATTTTTTGTCCCTAGCTGTGCATGAGGCAAGTACTCCTTTGTTCTGGAACAATGATATATCAGTCTTGTGTAACTTTGGGTTCTTCAGCTGGCATGTAAAAGCGAAATGGAAATGTTTCTGGGAGGGATGGTGTGCTAATTAGAGGTAAAATGTATCTCATTGAAACTTAAATCCATGCTCTTAACTCGGCATTTTGTCTCCCTCTGTAGGCTACCTTCTCTGCTAGGGCAGTATTATCATAAGAGGGCAGATTACTGTATTCACTGTTTAAGCTGTGTCTGAAGTGACCCAGAAGTGTTTCCAAACTGCCAGGCCAGGGGATGAATCCCGGCGGTGTCTCACTGTGTATTAGGAAAGATGTGGCTGTGTTTATCCTGCTGTCCACACTTGCAGAACTACAGTACTGTATGAGGGCTATTCTGTGTTATGGTGAGGTCCATTGAGCGGGATGATAGACAGCTGCAGATGTGCCTATCTCAAGGAAGACTCAGCTTTCTGGAATGACTCCAGCTGTTTCTCTTCCTTGTCTGTAGGGAAGGTAATCCCACCTCTCCATGAGACCATGAGACCAGCTGTGTTGACTTAGTGGCTCTGGTACATAGAGGGATGTTCCCAGACACAAATACTGCAGACCCAGAGGGTCACCATGTGATTCCTGTAGAAATCTGCCAGATGAGGGCTGTCTGTGGAAATGCATGTCTTCAGAGCAATAATTTGTCCTTCTGAAAAGATGCCTCAGTTTTGGCTGGCAAAATTTGAATACACTGATCCACCCCTTTGTCTGGCCGAACATCCATATACCAGCACTGATTTTAAGAGTTTCCTTTCCTGATTTTGAGCATTGTGCTCTGCTCTCAAGAGAAGCTCAGCCTGATGCATACGATGAAAACAGCAACTGATGGATTGTCCCAGAATAACGGGGCGGGGGAGGAAGCGAGTTGTTTTATAAGGGGCCAACCCAGGAGAGGGCAGCCGAGAGATGGCTAGGCAGAAGGAGCAGCTCCTGGCCCACTCAGGTGCTGGCTGTGCTGGGAAATACAAGCCCTCGCTTTGGCTGTTGCCTGTGAAAGTGCCACTGCTGCACTCAGGAATTAAGCTTTTGGATTGCTCAACTTTGAACTAGATTTTTGGCCTTTCTGCTCACTTTATGCACAGCGGTTCCAAGTAAGTTGTAGTTTTATAGAGTAGCACATTAATTTGTTGCTTCAGAAGCATTAAAAAAAAGAACTGCTAAATCTAATTATTAACAAGTTGTATGTTAAAGCAGACAGTGCTGCCCTTTCTCTTTTAAAATGCTGTGAAAAACAGTCTTGAGCATTTAATATTATTAAGTACAATTAAATGTCCTGTGGAGGTGATTGAAAAGAGTTTGGCATAGATTGATGACTGTAAATTACCAGTTTCTTTAAGTACATTAGGCCAGTTTTTTGAAAAACAACCACACTATAAAGTTTGATCTTATCAACTTATCAAAAATTAGTATCCTGATGTATCTTTATAGCAGTTCTTTTTATAAAATTTCCATTTTGACCATTTTAAGAGGCAAATACAATTTAAAAACTGCTACCATACTAAAACCTGTGATTGCATACAAATAATTGACCAATTAACTGAGAACAGAAAGATTCAATTAAAATGTAGGACTCAAAAAGCTGTGAAAATGTGCATTTCATTTACTTTCACAAGCAATAAAAAATTGAGGCAATTACATACAGATTTTGAGATGCATTTTCATACCTTCATTTTTTTAGTCTTTAATTTGCAATCTTTTGTTGTAGTTCTGTTTTGGATGCGCTTTAATCCCAGTCAGCAATTCAGCCCCACACAGCCATTCACTCACTCTGCCACTCGTGGAATGGGGGAGAGAAGAGGAGAGTAGAAGTGAGAAGTCTTGGGGGTTGAGATGGGTGACTATCTAATAGGGAAAGTAAAAACTGCTAATGCAAGCAAAGCAAAACAAGGAATGCATTCACCGCTTCCTATTGGCAGGCAGGTTGAGTGAGCCCCAGGAAAGCAGAGCTCCATTGCATGTGACAGTGGCTTGGGAAGACAGACACCAAATACTCTGAGTGCTTGTGGTCAGTTGTGGGCAGTTGTCACATCTCTGTCCCTTTCCCACTTTCCTCTGCACCCCCAGCTTCCTTGCTGGTGAGATGGGGTGAAGAGCAGCAAAGGCCTTGGACCTGTGAGCACTGTGTAGTGACAGATAAAACATCCCTGTGTTATCAACAGTTTCCAGCACAAATCCAAAACACAGCCCCATACTAGCTACTGTCAAGAAATGTACCTCTGTCCCAGCCAAAACCAGCACATACATAAGTCAGTGTATAAGGAATCTAGCTTGTAATTCTGCAAAACATTGAGACTTGCTGAAAGACAAAACTTCGTGCCTTAAGATTAGGTTCATGTGATATTGTATGATGGAAATATTAAAATTAGTAGCCTACCTGAATGGTTATATACCACTGTTAAAAGCATGGAGGAGCTGGAAGTGAAAATAAGAAACTCTGTGAAAGTGTGTAATTTTCAGGTGGTAGTTTATGACAATATTGTCTTCCTGTCATCTTTCTATTCATAGCTGAGTTCCTCCTTCTCTTCTTTTGCTACATTGTTCCTGCTGAAAAGTTGAATTCAGCTTTTTTTGCACTAATGTGAGTCAGGTTACAGTACAGTACAATTTACTGGTAATGTCACATTCTGGAGTATGATTTGCAAGACTTCAGGTGCAGTGTCTTTGTCTACCTAGCAGAGTGATCCCCTTAGGTTCTCACTGTGTGCTACTGGGACAAAGCCATATTTGGCCCCATTTTATGCAGTGCTTTTTCAGTAGCATTGCTTTTCTTTAGGTTGCTGTCTAAAAATAAATGAGTCTGTGTTCAGCAGTAGTCTTGGGTTTTATTGCAGTAATGCTGTTAGGCCCTCAGACAGGCCACCACAGTGATACAGTCCCTGCTCCCATAGAGCTTACATGCTAGCTTTTAAAAGTCAACTTTATTATAAATTCTCTTGTATAGTCCAAATTTATACATAGGTCTATATGAAACCAACTCAGATTTTGGACTTAATTCCAGTACTTCAGGAAATCAGCAGCTAGATTTCAAGACTAGAATCAGATATAACTTGAGCTTGCTGAAGGTATTGCTGACTTTTCTTGCTGCAAGCACAAACAGAAGTACATGCTGAAGCTCAAAATTTCAGGGTGTTTAAAACATGCTGCTTTAAAAAAGTAAATTAAAAAGAAAAAAAAAAAAAAACAAACCCTTGCACACAATACAAAATATACATAATATTTCCAGTATTATTTGCAGCTGTGCCAACTTAAAAGTGCAAGACTTGCCCATTACAAAAAACTGAATTACCCATTTAAGTATTAAATGGGTAACCTTTTGAAAGAAAAATAAACTATTAACTTGGAGTGGTTAGGATACAAAAACCTTACCCATTGTTATGTCTCCCCTTTATTTTGAAAAAGCAGTATTGTGTCCAGGCTGGGAAGGGGAATTACATTGTCCATGTCAAAATACTAGTGAATTGAATCATTGCTACCTGATTGATAAACTGGTAAATCCCCAAAGAAGTTGCATATTGGATATTAATCTGTACCTCCCACTGAAGGCAGAAGAAGGAAGTCTGGGTGAATGCCTGAATTGCCCTGGTAGGCAGCACCAGAAATTGAAAATTCTACCATCTGGTGTATTGTGAAATTCCCTCTCTGCTCCGGAGTGCATGACCCTGATTATGTAGGAGTTTCCCACATAAATGGCTGTAGGGGTTATTTTTTTCTGCATAAGTTTATATAAGAATTGAGGCAGATATTTTTTTTTCTTTTTACTCTCAGCGCATTTGCCCTCAAAGTTTATAATTACAAATCAGGAGCTTATTCGTTAGATTTATGCAATTACTATTTTTTTTTTCCACTTTTAAAATATTTGTTTTGGTTGCAGACTCAGCTGATGGCAAGAATCTTGTTTGATAATTGATATAAGAATCTGAATTGTTTTTCAGAACGTTAGAAAAACCACAACAAAATGTCTCAAAACATAACATTTCATAGATACAAAATAAATTCAAAACACATATGAAACTACACTGAGCATAATCCAGCTGTTGCTGCAAATGAAGCTGTTATTTGCCAAAGAGATGGTTGGCTTTTGACTGATTAGCTATTAAAAAAGACTGAGTAAAACTTTCAAACATGCTTAAGGCTAGTCCCTCAGAAAATAATGGAAAAGTGCCTAAGCATAATTACAATCCAGTTTTGGGGGGAAGACACCATGAATTCATGTTCTCAACCAGGCACATTTGCATGTTTTACTCTTCAAGTAAATCACCTCAAGTTGGAAACAATCTCACTGGCATGGCAGCATACATACAAAAACCATACACATCTTCTCTCCCAATCAATTGTAAGTGTAACTGCCAGGCATGAGAGAGAAAGGCAGCCAAAAGGCCAATTCCCCTGTTGCCAGTCTTACAGCATGGGCCGTTATTAGACCGAGCTTTCATTATAACCAGGCAGCGTAACAGCATGTGATAAACTTGAGGTGTGTAACCAACACAAAGTCACTCAAGTGTTGCTCTTAGAGCTCATTACAGAGCACTACAGTACTTCACCGTATAAAACATAAGTTAACTTCACCAAGACATGAACAGGTAGGACCAAAAAAAATGTGACAGGTAAGGAGGTTGTACTGAACTTTGGTCTCCTGGAGGGCACCGAGATGCTAAAGAAGTGCAGTAAACATTTTACAGAGCTTAGATCTTCACTATCCCCTTTTGTAACGTGCATAATTCCTCAGTCAGCTATCCCCTTTAGTTCAATCTATGCTCTTAGTCTTGCAAAATCTTTCAGTACAGAATTAAAGGCAAGATCTTGACTGTCTTTTCTATTTATGTCAAAAGCAAAACTGGTATCAGAGGGACCAAGAGTATAAAGGCCAGCATAACAGTAGTGGTAGTTCTTCTCAGGATGAAAATTGAGTGTTAATGTTGCAGAAAACATGCCATAAGTGATTATGAAATTCATCTTTTCTTCTCAGGGAGAAAGTATGCAGAAGACAGTTATACATATCATTTGGCAATACTTCCCCCAAACAATATCCTTTAGTAATTTAGTTGTAACCTTAGTGCAAGAAATGTGGTGAACTTTTGGAAGACTTTGCCTAGCCAGTTGTCCTATAGCAACCAGACAGACATCTTCATACACAGTTCCCAGTTTATAAATTAGTTAAAGCAAAGGTTTGCTGGTGGAAATTATTTTACTAAAACAATAAGGATGGAGCTAGTCAATGAAAAAATGACTTTTCTTCTTCCAGTCTGGAAGCAGTGTTTACCACACATTCATCATCAACTTAATAGAAAATGTCCTTTAACACATGTGGTACTTGTCAACTGAATTACAAACTGATGCTGTTCCACAATAATCTGAAATAAATTCTTGTTTCACTCTACAGTAGATCAAGAGAAGGGCTGCTGGAACAGTATGTTACTGTATACTCCGGACCTGCCAGTTCTAAGGGTTAAGTTTGTTTGAAAGGCAAAAATTTACAAGAAAAGGCATTATAAATCATTTTTGAAAAAACCAAACTGTCCTGCAGTTACTCTTACAATAGAGTAGAATCTGTAAAATATTTAATCTATAAAGACACTTTCATTAAAAATGTTTAAATGTTACTAAGCTTTAAGGCACTCCAGCTGAAGAACTGCCTGATCACAACTACTACTGGTGGCTCAGATCTCCTCTTTGTCCATCTAACTCATCTTCAGTCTTTGTCCTTTGTGAGTTCTGCAATTTCATCGACATCTTCTATATCCTGTGTCATTTTCTCGTACTGTCTCTTGAAGAAGCCAAGCTGTGAGAAGTATTAAAATAACACCACATTGCAGTCAGTCATTGATAATTCATTACTCAGCAGAACTAAATACTATGATGGTAAAAATGCACGTGTGCATGCATACACTGTAGAGTGATTTGTAGACAGTTCTTGCCTCTAAAATGAAAGGAGGTTGGCCTTAAACTCCTACCTGGTGCAACTAAATGCTAGAGCAGCAGTGCTGATTAGCCAGTTTTCTCCCTGCTGACATTTCCATGATGCCTTGATAATGCTAAGGAGCACTTCAAACACCAATCCCCTGGCACACAGAAAAACTTTTCCCTTTTTCTGTGTAACCTTTGTAATTTACTTTTTGTTCCTGCCCTTTCTTTTGTCTGTTGTCTGTTCAATATATATTCTCTCTCACCTTGGCTGTAATCCCCACCCTTGTCCACTGGGAATATCACAGGTGTTCAGAGCCTAGATAGGATATTATCGAAGGAGGCAGACAGGAAAGGAAAAAAGTAAATGCCACAGCCCCTGTTTTGAATGACTGGCAGCTCATTTATCATCTTCATGTTGCTGGTTTCTATAAGGACTCATTTCATAAACCCATCTAAAATATGTTAAGGATGTAATGTCAGTGCAGTATTATTCACACCACCAAACTGCAGATGTGGTTTTGTTTCACACTAGAACAGAGATATTGCAAAGAAAATAGCCCAAATTTATTTATCCCTTTCTGGTTTTAAGATACAATTACCTACTTACTTTCCACAAAACAGCAACCAGTACCAACAGCAAGAGGAGTCCAGCCAATATGCTGCCAATCACAACACCTACTGGTACCTCAGCTTTCTCATCCGGCTTCATTATTGTAACTGGGATCTGAAAGCAGAGAGACTGTGTTTTAGGGGCTAATGTTAACTACAAATAGGGTAGGATTTGTAAACCAAATATCAAGAATGCCTGGACTGCATATATTCCAGGATGAATGACTGGAATGCACCAAGCAATTACAACCCTTTCACTGGTGTCTGTGGGTGCTTGGTTACACTGAGGACTAGAGGCCCTCATCACTCTTGGCCATGCATAACAGGCAGAGAAGAATCTCTCCTGCCAGCTGCCTCTCCATTAACAGCAGGCCTTTCAGAAGCTCCACACTACTACATCTACTACAACATCACTGTGTAGAACAGCCATGTTTACATGAAGGCAGGGAATAGCCTGGTGTACAGCCCCAAAATCAGACTGCTGGAGAAGCACTACTTTTCACCAAGTCTTGTCAGAGCCATTATCTGTGTTCAGCAGCTGTAGGAGGCAGTACTAATCACTGAGACCAGACACCATCCCATCTGTTGAACTCCTCCTGCTGGGGAGGTGCCTCAGTCTACTTTGCCTGCTGTTCCTACCTTCTATGAAACCACGATTTAAAGATCTCATCTGTTAAATCATGTGTTCTCCAGGGTCAACTGCATGAATTTGCTGCAAGATGTGTAGGTCAAAGAGGAGCACCTCTAACACACCTACATTTCCTGAACCACACGCAATACCAAAGAGCTTCCAGAAGAGCACAGAGTGTCTGGAAGTTAGTTTTCAGGTGATACCCTATCTAGTTGGATTAAGTATAACCAAATATATAATTACATATAACAGAGTTTCTCGGTGAGACATTGCTGTAATATTTATGAACTGTCAAATTTTTGGATTTAATCTTGGAATGACATGCAGTTAGCTGAAAGTTTTTTTTCCTTCCTGAAACATGATAAAACAAGTCACACTGGTTTATTTTCTCAGGGTGGTTGTTCAGTGCATTTGTCTGGAGTAATTTAATCTTAAGCTTTCTGGGAAACTTGCACTGGACTGACATTTCTGTGATTTAAGTAATTTCTGTTGGAAGGCTCCAGTGTTGTGCTAGGTGTAGTTATGTGTATTAATTTCACCAAGGCAGGATGGCTTTGTGTATTTTCTAACTGAATGGCCATAGTGATGATTCTAGCAGGTTACCATTCTGGCCTCCAGCTGGCAGACCTTTCCTACTTGGAAAAAATGTGAAAGCTTTTACGTAAAAATACCTAAGCAACTTCCCCACATAGCATCACAAGGCAATACTAATTTATTTGGCTAACCAACAACCCAGTTCATCCAATATAAAAAGCCAATCTCATATATGCAGTTTGTCTAGTAATGCTTTCTGCATTAGATTAACAGTGAAGTGGCATTACTGGAAAGAAAAAATAATGCCTAAGAACAAATTATCTTTCCTGAAGTTAAACTGTGGTCAATAAGACACCATAAGACTGGGATTCAGTTAATCTGGTGTTTTTCTACAAAATGGTTCCTTGACTCTCAAAGGAGAATAGGCTTTTTTAAAAGCCCAATTCACCCTAGTTATTTTCAGGATCAAATTTAGGATGAGATGAGCTGCATTTCAGAAATACCCATTCTTTACCCAGGGACTAGGGTATATAGAATATGGATGACTAATGCAGATATTAAATTGTGAATCCTACCACATCCATCTAAATTAACAGGGTAAGTAAGGAAATAAACTCTGTTGCTTCTGTACTGTCCTGTTCCTAGGGAAGTGTGAAGGCCAGACTGGGTATTCCTTGTTGGCCTGACAAGAAGGAAGTACTGTGCTGGGTACTGACTCCAAGTGTCAAACTGCCTGCTCTAGGGAGAGTGTACCTCCACAACCTGGCACATTTACCAAGGCTTCTCACAGGGCAATAGGTCATTGAGTAAAGGTCAGTCTGGAAGTCACCAAAAGCCACTTTGTTTATGAGGAACCCTGTGGATAACTTTCAGCGTCTGTTCAGCTACTGCCTCAAAGGTGTAGAAGTCCCAGCTGCGCAATGGCTGGGGGAGGAATTGATTTTCATTTGTCACTATCATTTAAATAATAAAATTCTAATTTTCCTGAAATTGCCAACAGGACTTCTGGTAATGTAGATTTGGCGGTACCATGTTGCAAATGTGGAGAAATACTTATTAATACATGGTTTATGTGTTACCTAAAAAGCCTGTGCAATTACCTGGAATATTTGTATTTTATAGTAATGAGTTTAATCTCCTAATAGAAATAATATCATGCCAAACTGAAGCACTCAGAACACTTCAAATACTGGCATGTAATTTTTCTGTGAAAACATACTTCCTTTGTTCTTCAGGCACTGGAGGTTTTACTGATTACAAAACAGCTTATGAGTGATCCATGAGAAACCAATGATTAAAAATGGTATTGGATAGTGATTGTATCACAGACTGAGAGAGATCAATCTATAAGCGCTTTTGTATACATTTAGTTGAATTCTCTATTGCCTGTGAATGGGCTATGCTGCACATTCTTACAAATATTTGACTCATTTACTAATTTGCATTTTGTTTTTTAATGACCTTGGTTATTTGATGGATAAAACAGGCTACTAAGTCCTGTAAAAATAAATCTGAAGTTAGTACTGCAAATGGAAGGGTGTTCCTCTCAAGACAGAGTAAGAGAATAAGATGTCCTCTTTTATTACAACAGTACCACAGTGCTACTGTATTCTTCCAGAGTTTTTATTTTTCTGTATAGCAAATAGAAAGCTTAGAAGAAGAATTTAGTACTAATAAAGCAGTGGTATGGAGACTTCTCTTGAGATTAGCTATGTCCACATTGTCCATATGACAGCTATTCCAAATGCTAAAAATATTCCACATTCCAAAAAAAGAGATTAATTTCTGGGGACCTTTGCCAAACATTTGTGTAGAAACCTCAAACCATACTCTTATAGAAGTAAGTAAGACTGTAAGTCAGATTTGTGAACATGTTTCCCAGAGCTCATTTTTCTATAACAATTAATTCCATTGCAGCAAGAAAGCCAAATTTTGATCTTTTCATGAACAGAAAGCTATGTGAATTTCAGGAGTTTCCAGCTGACTTTTTCTCAGAGTTCTAGAATTTATTTGAGACCTACGGGTTTTAACTATGTCTGGTTTATATAGCAGTGGGCTGAAATAAAAACATTTTAATAACTTAAGGGATTTGTATATAGTCAAATGATACTTTAGTTCAACATAATCAAGCTGCTGTGTACTCCTAAAGGACACTGAAAATTTAATACTATCACTTTAATACAGTCAAAGATAGAGAAGTTGAAAAAATATACTTAACCATCACTTACAGTTAGGGTGTTCTCTCCAATGATAAATAACTCAGGGTTATTTGTATCAATTTTTGCTTCTGCAGAGAGTTGTAATGTCTGGAAACTTAACTGAAAGAAAATATTAAAACAACTGTAAAGCTCTGTTGTAGGGCAACACAATTGAAATGTAAATATTCTAAAATAATTCTATTGCCTTGAAATGAAGACTTCACAGCCATAAAAAAAAAATCATAGTAATAAGAAAATTAAAGCTATTTTAATATTTTCCCCAGCCAACATGTCAATCAAAGTAATAATATATCAGTAATCCACTTAGCAATGACATTGAGGAACTGGTTTTTCTTTTTATTTAATGTACAGTTCAAGCAAAACAGAAGGAAATATTTACATAACCCTCTTTATAGCTATTTCAAAGCTGTCACTGCTGCTAGGAGGGAAGAGATGGGGGGAAATAGCAGTGAGAAAAGGAGACACAGCAACAAAATACAGATGGGAATATATCTCTGGCCTTTGAAAGAAATGGAAACTGGATGTTCTTTTACTTCCCCCAGCCTGCCCTTCTATCCAATGCTTCTGTTTTTCCCCATTTATTTTTTCCTTTCACTATGTGTTCCTCTCCACATCTCAAATTCTGACATAGCTCTCTCAGCTTAAACAGAGAAGATGACAAAAATCTTAAGCCAATTCCTATTTGAAAAGGGACCTTGTGCCAGACCCAACTTCCCTCTGTGGATGTACTGGGAGGAGAGGTGCATGGCTGTGTAGACACTGACAGTTCACTGCTGTTCTTCCACAGCACCACAAGGAATGGCCTCAGGTTCATGGGAGCACAGGACCACTCTCTCCAGGCGACCCAAAGGCAATGCCTGCTCTGCCCTTTTTCCTCCTCAGCCTGTCAGGGCCAGGTGCCATGGGCAGCTGTGGGTCTGCAGTGGCCAACACACCAAACTGACTGGCTCTGCAGTGCGAGTTATTGCACTCCCTGCACTGTGGCCATCTGCCCAATTGGTGTGTCCTGGACACCTAAAAGTTTAGAAGCATACCTGATCACTATTCAAAGCATCTCAATTCCTAAACACATCTTTTCTTTGCTTAGCAGGTACTGGCAAGTCTGCTATGGCCTTCTTGGACTTCTTGGATTGCCACTAAATTAAAAGGCTGATGATATGCATGATTGAGTGCTTGCAAGATTATTTGTGCTGAATTTTGACAACGAAATAGAAAATTACAAAATGGGAGACGCGAGGGGAACTGTGACATATGAGCTTTCCTTCCCATCAGCCAGTGATAGTAAACAATCCATTCCCACTCACTTTTTTGTGAGTAACCTTTTGTTCAGGTCTCCACCTTCTGCATACCTAACAGAACTAATAAATGGTCTTGACCCAGCTGATTAGAAACATACAAATGCTAAAGACAGACAGATGCTTTTCGTCACACATTTCCACAACACATTTAACACCTATCAACCTGACCTTTTCCTTTTAAGAGTTGAATGCTGGAGCTGACAACAGCCCTGCTGTTAAATGTCAATACCTGCCACAAAAATCACCAGACACACTAAGGAGACTGCATCATGTTCCTGATGCATTAAGCAAACCCAGGACTCCAAGATCATTTGGTTGGTTGCCTAGCTAAGAAGCAAACACAGTCTAACTTCAAAAGTCTGTTAACTCATGATGAGTTATATCCGGAGGACACATGGGGATTGAAAATAGGCTAAGATATTGACGTTTCTTTTAAAAAATAGGTCTTTAAGCAAGGACTGTTTCTTTGACACCTACTCTAACAAACACAAAAAATAAATTGAAGATATTTTCCATACTTTATCAAATAAAACTGGCAGCACTAACAGGGTTTTGGTAATTTGATATGATTTAAAATTATCTCAATGTAGGTTGTGATGTTCAAAAGCTAAAAAGCGCAATTACTTTACAGGCTATGATGATACTGTGCTCTGCTGTCTTATGATGAGTTTTGTGGAAACTGAAGTTCCCCCAGAATGAATCTAACAGATGTAGAAAACATTTTTCCAGCTGTGAAGGTTGTATTATTACAGCATTTTCTTAGATTCTGTGCTGAACTGAACTTTTATCAACTCTGTTATACAGCTTCACTACTTTAAGTTCAAGATTTCAATCTGGAAAAACACAAACCAATATAAAGGAAAGGAAGGTCTTTCTAGACTGTAAGGTCTCTGTACTGAACTTCGAAAAGTATCAGGAGTTTGAAAACACTTAAGTATATATCCATATATATATATATATATATATATATATATATATAAATATCTCCAGTACTTAAGTACTGGATCCTTCATAAAGATGCAGCTGATACTCACGGCAGCAAAGGTTCCATTCCAGATTTGGGTGGATATGTTCACAAAGTACTCTCCCTTCAGTGCAATGTCTTCCAATTTGCATGTGATGGTACTGCACTTCACGTTCTTACAGTTCTTCCAGGAGAAACAGCAAGAAGAGACAACAACATGCATTAAAAATGCACTTTAAAAATATTCTTGCAACATCCAGACTTTTTGCCCTTGCCTTTGCTGTTCTGTGCATACAAATTAAGTGCTTGCAGGCTGTGCTAAAGCAGATGCAGTGTCTGTAAGAACATCCATAGGCCAAGCTCCTGCTCTGTAAATGAGGAATGCCACCCCATCACAGCTTTCCTCACAAGTACAGCAATAGGCTCAGACGGTCAGCTCTGCTTCCCTCAGCTCAGAAGGTCCTGCTTACTGCAGCCCTGGGTTTTACTCACCAGTTCTTTGGAAGCTCTGAAGTTCTCTTTCATGAAAGATGGAGAATAAGGTCTTTTCCCTATTTGCAGTGGATTTATCTGAGCATCACAAGTAACACCTCTGGCCTAGGAAATATGGCAGGAATGAGACTGGACAACATGCTACTTGGTAGTTTATACTCATCATAATAATATAAATTTCTGGGCTTAGATGGTGGTGGTTAAAGGTTGAACTATGAACACTGAATTCTTTAGAAAACTAAAAGTATGAAATAAGTAATTCTTATGACACTTTCTTTTTTGTCCCTAGATTGACCTGAAGGGTTTTTCCTCATCTAAAAATTTCATTTTTACAATAACTTTCTCAGGAACTTGGAGAAGGACCTAACTGAGAAGATCCAGATACTCTACATATGCCAAGTAATTAGGCTAGTGTACTACTGGCATTGTGGTCCCTCTTTTATGAGGAAGGTACAAGGAGAAAAAGCATGGATTCTCTTAAGCCATAATATGGGGAGATAACAGATGTTTATATTACTGATAAACCCCCAAAATACAGTTCAGATCTATACCTCATCTATGGTGACTGCAGTTAGGTACATCAGTGGGTTGCCTTTGCTGGTCAGTTCGGGAAGAGTGATTGTTACTGATGACATCTTTACTGGAATATTTCCTGTTATTACCTGCAAAGTAAAAAACTCGGGAGTTAATTCAGGTAGCTATGCATAAATTATTTGATGCAGCAAGAAAATTAGAAATAATGGATGAGTATGGAAGAACTGGACTCCTTTTACATCAATTTTTTTCTTACTAAGACACTGGGGTAGTAATTTTGTGAATAGTAAAGCAGAAAGTATACTGTATAGCTCCAGGTTCCTGTCTGTTTTCTTAGTAAAGCATGAAATATATTTTGAAAAGCAAATATTTTGCCACAGCCAATAGGCCTGTTTAGTCTTTGAAGTAGCAGTTACAGGAATGGAAATGGAACATAATTTAACTTTCTTCCACGTTGCATATTTTGATCTAAGTTTTTTTCTGTGTTATGTAATAAGCACTGTGATTTGGCTAGTTCTTGCATCAGGTTTGAGCTCCTAACCCTTGCCAAACTTCCAAGTTTCAAAGTCCAAGCCTGCAAGCACTTGTTTTTCTTTATCAAGTTGTCAGGAGACTCTGTGAAAAAACAGTCTAAGTTGGCCTAAAGTTAAGCATTAACCACCTTCTAAATATGTACACAGTGCAGGACCAATCTCTCCCCCTTTCTAGTTGTACAAATGTCATCCTTAACCTTATGAAGACTCCAAGAACTTACGCTATTTGCAATTATTTTTTTACTTGACCTATTCAAAAGCCTCAAAATCAGACAATGAAAGCAGGAGTGTTTTTTTAAACAAGGTTTTGGGAGCAGGCTACAGAGGGAGCTAAGGCAACTTCTTGAACCAGAAAAAAACAGACTTACTAACCTTAACTGAGAAGTTGAATGTGGGGCCAATATCTTCAAAATTATTCACAGTGGAAGGAATGTTATGATCAGAGTATACTTCATAAAAGTTGATATTGGCAAGCCTGGTTAACAACCATAAAACAATACATTTCAATTTGGCAGCTGCTTTGAAAACATATGTTACTGGATATGGCTTTGTGAAACAGGTCAGAAGTACAGAGAAAGAAGTAGTCAGTCACTTAGATTGTTGTTTGAATTTTACAAAATTGGTTAAGAAAATGGTGTACTGAAGCCCAGAGCTGGAAAAAACATGTGAAATTAGGACAAGAGAATTGTACAGGATACAGACTCTCAAGCTTTTAGACCCTGCATTGTTTCAGGGCCATACTGCAAACTCCTCTGCACACAAATTCACCCTTGCAGTCATCATTTTTTCCCAGGAAGGGCCTGAGTAAAAGGCTGTCTCCCTTGGTACATCTGTAACTGGTGGGGTGTGAAAACACAGGCATCACCCTGCTTATGTAGATGGTACATATCACATAGTCCTCATAGTACTCTTGGGCCACATTCTTTAGAAATTATGGGGTTTAAAATCCAGCATTTCCAAAGTAATACAAGGGTGGTTTCAGCCCTCTGCAGCATGGAATGGCAGGTATGTGATGGAAGGACATGGTGCTTGAGGAGCTCTGTTAGTTGGAACCATGCTCAAAGGCAAGGAAAACATCCCAGTGCATTACACCCACTACCTGCTACCTGTGAGCAGCTACTCTGCTAAATCATGCCAGAACTGTGTCTGCTCTTGATCATTAACTTTCATTAGAAGGCTAATTTGAGCAGTCAAAAAGCAAGCTGGTCAGTGAGTTAACAATAAATAGAGGCTATTACAGCTCCTACATCAGCTCTTCCTGTTCCACAAGGAATCTATCATCTTTACTGCTCTCCCTGTTTAATCTGGTAACATCTGGGAATACAATCCCAATATAATGTGTGTGCAGTCACACAGATGTGCTTCCTGATCAGTGTTGGTCCTCCATACTGCACTATGGATCCTTTCTGATCCTCCATACTTTCTCCCATGGGCCCTTTCCTTGAAGGGCTTGCTCACAAGGACTCCAAGGAAAACACACATATTTTCTGCTTCCTTTCTCCTGGAGATTCCAGCCCTTCCAAGATGCAGAGTATCAACTTCCGTGTCCTTTCAGAAGTCTTTGGAAAGACATACTGCTACATCTTCTCCTAGAAACTCAGGAAATTAATCCTAGAAAGACTTCGCTTCAGCAAAACAATACTCTTTTCTCAACTCTTGTATATTAAGGGATTACTTCTTGGCTACATTACCTGCCTCAGGAAGGAACAAATTCCAGGTAAATACTTCCTAAGCCAAGTTATGCCATGGCTTAATATGCATTTCATTTAATTATTTTAAATTTATCATCTCCAAGAATAAAATAACCATTTTCTGGCAGTAGGTATTCCTTCATTCCTTGATGTGCATATGAAATTGCATTTTTTCATATTCAGGAGATGTAGCTGAATTCAAACCCTTGCTTTCCCTTGAATAACTTTTATAGACTCTATTCCTCGCTTCTTCCAAAGCATTTAATTTCATTTCAGTTCATATTTCTCAGCTAATTAAACCCATTGACTCAAGTTGGCACCATCTGAATTTCCTAAGAAGTTAGCCCTCTACACAGATGTTCCTGCAGTCTCTGCTGCTGCTGGCAAGGTCTCATGCAACTTTCTCAAGGAGCTGAAAGAACTTGCACCATTGACTCAAATGCTTCTCTGTACTTAAAATAATCTCAAAAATTCCGCTTGACTCTGAGACTGGTGCACATATTGATGATGCAGGGCCTTCAATATTCTGAAACTACTTCTGCAAAGATTAATTAAAACACTAATCTTCTGTACTGTGGTCCCTATTCTAGCTCATCCTACACAGAAGCCAACAGTTCTTGTAGCTATGGTGGTCTCTGAATATTAATTTCCTGGATCCATTGTTGCTGGGCATTTTGAAGCAGCTCCCTCTTTTTAAAATTTCTGTTATTCTCTGAATATCTACTGGGTTTTAAAATATTCGTTTATATTTATAAATTTGTGAACACTTTGGGATGCAAAAGCCTTTTTTCACCAAGAATTGGTGACTAAATGCATTAACTGTAATTACATGTTGATCCTAGAAATGGAGTATTTGGGAGAGATAAATAAATCTTTTCTTTGATGAAAATTCAAATATCCTACCTTGATCTGAGAGTGACACCAGTATATTTTTGTTTCAGTTGCAATCTAAGTTAAACTGTAACTGAAATGTTTCTTGTTTGGAACAGTAACAGACTCATTACTGTTGGAGTTCATCCCAAGTCAGCAAGCATTTCCAGGCTCAAGATACGAACTTTCAAGATCATATGAAGATAAAAGGCCTTAAAAGGCTTTTCATGGTCTCTCCCCCTGCCTGCTCAGCTGCCTCTCCTTACAAATTACCCTTCCCAGGGTAAAGGATCTCTCTTCCAACAGCCCTGACTTGCCTTCTACATGGAGAAGAAAGGGCTGGCACCAGGTAGAGGGGGTAGGTTTGAGCCAGAACCTGGATGGGTGCAAGGGAAAGCAGGGTGTCTGCTTCCAATGCCAGTGCAGCTGCAGCAAGGGAGAATCTGCCAGTGTACCTCAGGTTTTAGTTCAAATCATTATCTCAAACTGATAAAAAATTTATATTCTTGCTCCAGGTTTAGCAAATACATCCATATTTTTTTTATTTTTTTTCTTTCCCTCCTTTACTGAGGGGGTAATATTTTTCCTTTTGAGATTCTTTTGTTTAGCTTTAATCACAGTAATTCCAGATTTGATCCCAGGTCATTATATTTGAGCCAAGAAACTCAATGTTATTATGCAGTATATACTATTTATGTTACCTAAACCACATGCACTGTTTGGCCTTTGTATCAATTCTGTTCACAGAAGCATCTGTAACAAGTTTTGGGAGGTAAACATGAGTCCACAACTTTCCTAAATTTATATATAAGTTTGGTTGGAAGGATGGACAAAAAATCTGCTACTACTCGTGAAGAGGTAATTTCTTATGACTTCCACAACCAAAGCAAAGCTTTGCTATATTTTAATGGCCTTTCAAGACTGTTAGTTCAAGTAGCTTTGCAAAATAACTGTGTCTATTTACATAAATCAGCATACCTTGTGAAGTGAATTTCTGCATCGTATCGCAAAGGAATTGATAAGGTGACCTGGTTGTCCGAGTCTTGCTGTTCCTTACTTTCACTGTTCATCAAAACACATTTGAGTCAGGTGTAATAATATTGTTTTATACAAATAAGCTTTTAATACCTAACTTGATTTAATATCATTATGTACTTTACCTCCATGTATGAAAACTTAGAACTGCCACATTCTGAAGATTTTTAAGGTTAAAATTAAAGCTGATATCAAAGGATACCTACGGAAGAGACAAGGAACACAAAGTAAATGAGTTGGTACAACATCCTGAAGGACATTATTAATGTGTGTAACAGTCTAGAACTGCCCTCTGTATCTGAATTCTCTACAGATTTCAGTGTAATATTTTGATAATTTCTTAATATTCAGAATTGATTTGTTCTTAAATTCCCCTTCAAGTTGGCATTCTTACATAAACATGAGTTATTTGCATTTTAAAATTGTGTACAACTAGCTGTAAACTGCAAAAAAAGGTGTTCACAATTCCTTCATTCTGAACTCTAGCATTAACACAAGCTTTGTATTCACTCTTTTCTTCCATTTGTTCCTGCAGGTCCACTTTGAGCAATTTCATTAACATTCAGAACAAGCTTAACTTTCTATGTATGGGTTTTGTTAAGCTATTATTCTATATGTCATATATAGAATAATATACATGTTTATATATAATAATCATGTATATTATATAGAATAATATACATGTGTATATATATAGTATATATAGTATATATTCTATATAAAATACAGAATAACATCATGTTTCTGTTCTTTCAAGCAAGTTTTTTGTTGCTCTAGCTGATTATGTTAGAGGCTAGAACCCTGTTTCTGCTCTGCCATTGAGGAATAAGAGATTCCATGAAACTGTGGATATCATGAGGTTTATGGTATATATGGAAAAAGAAGATACACAATTCATCCTGGGGCTGTGTGGGCCTCCCATCTCCTCCCAAAACAATACTTGGAGAGATAAGATTCACAGAGCAGGTGAGGCAGTTACTCCAGGTTCACACTGCAGAAAGGATTTAATGGGAATTGTGCACAGTTCTTAGGAGCCTGCATATGATGCTCTATGCTTCTCTGCACCCAACTTTCACTCTCTAAAAGGTATATAGCTGCAGCAGCATTTGGAAGCTGTGGGTTGTGACAAATGAGCTTTGAGAGCCCTTTGTCCTTTAATGTGACAGGGAGTCACAAATTTTAAGCCCTAGCTTGCCTGTTTTAATGCCCTCTGTTGTAAAATCTAAGAAACCCTTATCAGCAATAAATGCAGAGTTATAGAAAAACAACAGCAGAGAAGGTTTTGGGTATCATTCAAGGTTATTTAAACATGCTAGCTGTACCTGTTGTCCTGTTCTGAAAACAGGATAGCTTATTTGGCAAATGACTGTACTTTGTGCTGTTCCTGTTTGACACAAGACTTCAGTCCCATCACTCTGCAAAGAAAACAGACAGAAACACCATCTTATTTCAGGTTTTGATAAGGCAGAGAGGTGTGTACCTTCAACAGCATATGTATTATACTAAGGAGGAGTGAAAATAGGTGGTATGGCAGTAAATCCAGGAGATGCAGCAGATGGGTGGGTCAGGGCCAGGAGGAAGTCACAAGGAAGGTGGGACAAGGACCATTTCCACTCAGTTTCTTGTGGGCTGCAATCATCTTACTAGAACTTTGTGCTGAGCTTGGAAGAAGGAATAGAGGCCAGAGAGTACAGATCAGCTCCACCACTTACTTCTATGAATCCTTTTTCACAGAATTTTTACAGAACTTTGCAGACATATTTACACAATCTTAGACCTGGAAGAAATCAAACATTCTGTAGGAAAATCTGCCACACATAATAGTTTGTTTACTACTTTCTAAAATATTGGCTTGTCATCATCCTTGATTCAAAGACAAATTCAAAATTCAGAGCCAGTTATCAACCCTTGGAAAAGAATTTATTAAAAACTACTGTCTTTTGTAAAAAACATTCCTAGTAAACATTTACCATTCATGAATTGTGCTACCAAAAAAACCCTCAAAACAAAACCTGCAAAAAGACCCATAGTAGATTCTCAGTTTGTGTTTTTCTTCCCACCTTAAAGCAGGCACACTTTTCGCCCAAACTTCACTTTCAGGCTGAAGTGCTTCTAAGCAAAAGGGCTTTTAAAGCAAAAGAAAATTCTAGCTCCAGTGTGGTCTTTTGGCAGGAGTGAAATGAACAATCTTGCTGCACAACAGGATGGGGAGGTAGAGGGGCACCCCCAGCACTGTGTGCAATACTTTTGCCAATTCATTGTTCAGAATAATGCTGCTCTTGGGCAGGAATGAATGCTATCCCTCCTCTCCCTTCAGTACAGGGATTGCTCTGGATTTCACCCCCAGGATTATCACGCACCTCTCCAGTAGGAGCCTGACCATATAAACCAAGCACTGAAATCTGCATTTCAGCCTTCAATTGGGAGCAACAATTTAAATTATAGGTATGCTGCATTCCCCAAAATAGTATGCATAATTCCTCTCTTTTGCTTTCTCTAAGATAAAATTTGTTGGAAGAAGAGCTTTTGGTATTAGCCATCATGTCAATCTGATTAACTGTCAAGGCACTGATTACATGGCCTTGGCAGTAACACTATTTCTAGATCCCAAGTCTGTGCTTTAAGGATTCATCATCAATGCTGCATGTCTGATTTATCAAATACAAATTCCCTGTGGCACAGAAACTGCTTAAGTCATGCTGCTGGGACTTAAGAAGTAGATGTGGGTGCCAAGGCCTAAAGTGAGGAAAAGATGTCTGAGGTGAGGTCAAACTCAAAAAGTTGCCAGCTTTTATGCTGAGTTGGAAATATCTCTCCTTGACCTAAATAAACTGATATGCCGGGGGAATAATTCTGGTATCCAAGAAAACAAATTGTGAGAGAGTTTTGTACACACATTCTTTTCTGGAACAGGCACTGCTAGAAAGGAAAAAAAAGAAAATTTCTCTGAGAACCTCAAAAATCAGGGGCAATAACAGAAACAATGAAGTTGGGTATCACGCACCGGTAAAGAAGATGAAGCGAAAAACAAGTTGTCTGAAAATGTAGCCTGGATTCTGGTGTTATAAGCATTTTCCTTTTTATTTCTCAATTTCACATTGAATGTTAGTCTTCTGTTTTTGCTGCTGACAATAAACTGTTGTTTGCTGTTGGAAAATAAAGTCCATTGTTGTAAATAGAGGTACTAGAACAGCTGTGGATCAGGAAAATGTGTTGCCCAAAGCCCACAACAAATAGCAAGCAAAGCAAGACATTTCCTACATTGTATAAGCTTAAATGCCCTGCTTTCTAAATCCCTTGGTGTAAGAAATTCTGTGATGGTGTTTCCTAAAACCAGATAGAATTATTGTATTCCAAAAGTGCAGCACTTTGACTACGTGTTGTCAAAGTTTCTGCTGAATTTTCAAGGGGTCTACCCTGGTGGGAAGGTGGACAGAGTGGGCAGCACACATGGGCAGCCTTATTTCTGTGATGTACATATGTGCATATACATTTGACGTGGACTTAGAATATGTGCTGCCCAAATAGCTGACCAAAACTCCCCTGGCACAGCTACTGTAGGATCCTCACTGCTCCCTGCAGGAGGGATGAAGACAGCTGCTGCAGCTGCTGCTGCTCTCTCTTTGTGCTCCCTTTCCCAACAGCAGCCAGTCAGACACAATTTGTTCAATAATCACTATGTACTCATCTCTAAGGTAACAAAACTTGGGTTGGTCTAAGCTGACAAGAGTCCTACTTCTGTGTCTGTGTTCCTATCCTACCTCTTTTTCCTTGATTAAATTTAGATTAAAATGTCATTGCATTTTTAATTGGTACTGTTTCTAAGTAGATGTTAAAGTGGAAAGGTGTTCTCCTCTAGAAATTAATCCAAAGCCTACAGACAAACCAACTGTTGAAAACACTGGGCCTTAACAGTTCCACTGATTCAGCTCTTACCTGTCATCTGCCTTCTGCTGAACATTCAGAACAAGATCACAGATACAAAGTTCATCTTCACCACAGTCTTTAATAAAAGGAATCTAATAAAAACAAAAACATTTTCTAAATGACAGGGCTCAACCTTTAACATTATCTGAAGACACTAGAATACAAACATCTTCAAGCTGAAGCACGTTCTTGGCTTGTAGATTAAATCCTCTTAGGACATGAAAACCCTCTGAAGGACATGAAAAATATTGGCAAGTGAATGAGTGAAGTGAATAATGTGTTGCTACATCTCAACTGATCCAAGAACTGTACAGACAGGTTACTCTTCAATGACAGCAAAGGTGATGTAATAAAATTAGTTCTATCTCTCTTCTATGTACTTTTTTACTGTAGATAAAACTGAAAGAATTCGTCTTTGCCATCAACTAGAAGTTCACATCAATAGTAACATGGCTGAACTATATGCTTGTTATGTGCTATGGTGGCTGGTGTGTGTGTGTGTGTGTGTGAGCAAGCTCATGTAATACAGGCAAAGGAATGAAAGGAACCAGGGGACACCCCTCCATGTGACTTACTCAGAGCACCAGTTTTCACTTGCATGTACCTTTTTGGTGTTTGTTGGGGCCGCACGTTATGGATGTGTATGGCCACGAATAGTAAATCTGCATACTTACAGTATAGGCCACAGATGCTGGAGAAGATATATCCAGGACAGGGCTGGAGCCAGGATTTGCAAGGCCAATGTCAATGCGCAAGCTAAGTGAATTCACTGCATCCGAAGGCTCCTGTAAAACATGCATGGTTCAGATGATGGCTGCCAGCACAGAAAACAGGGTAAAAATGATAATTTCTATTGTGAATTGAGAATGGGCAGTAAAATAATACTTGCTCCAAAAAAGGAGTAGCAACAGTTCAAAGCTTCATTTCTTAAAGAATATAATTTTGTGAGATTGACTAGTGTGGATTCCTGTAGATTAACAGTTTTCAGTGTGATTTCCATGATAAAGCTGATTTTTCTAGGATTCCTGGAGACTGTGCACATCAAAGTAACTACTAGGACTAAGGAACATGCAGATTGTCTGCAGCTGTAGGAGCTGGTTCTCAAAGCCATCACTAGGTAGCTTTCATTCTCATCTAGCTGCAGAAGCCAAATTCCTATTCCACTCTGCCTTACCATCACAAAGAGCATCTGGGCCTGAGTGACACTAAAATACAGTAAATGCCATGTTTCCTTTTTTTCTCAGTCATGGATTAATCACTGTCTAGTCCTGTGGCTCACTGCTCCACATGGCACTAAATGTGATCAATAGGTTACTGCAAACCAGAGCAGGGACAGAAGTCCTTTACCTGACCTTGCATCATGCAACAGAGTTTAAGGCAAGTCTTAAGGCTATGTTCAGGCTTTAGTTCTGGAGAAACATAGATACCTCCTTATTTTTATTAAATTCCTTGGTGTGTACCGGGGGTTAGAATGCATCCGAAGTCTGCCTGAATGTTACTTTGAAGAAAACATTTGCATGTAAGTTTTAGTTCTTACAGAAGAGTCTACTCAGAGGGAAATTAAAATCTATTTAAACTATAGACCATGGGCTCTATATTACACCAAAGCTGAATAACAGAATTAAGAACCCTCTTTCCTATCCTAAAAATCTGTACTGAATATGACATTTATTAGTTTCTATGAAATCCTAAACTTATTAAGTATTTCTCAGCTGTGGGTATTTGGGAAACATAAATAATTCAGTATACCATGCATGAAATTCACATTACAGACAAAAAATTAATCCATGCATTCCTCTGATCTTTTGCTATGCAAGAGTACGTGCAATTGCACTTACTTGTACACTGAAGACATCATGAACACAATTCTCTTCATGATGCACCACAAGATCCCTCTGCATGTACCTTTCATTATTTTCTTTGAAAAATCCTCTAGAAGTCACTCTGGAGGACTGGAGATCTGCATCCAATGTTGCATTGTACTTTATAGCTACAAGAAGGATAACAGTACATTTTTGACTGAGCATGGTTGCCTGTGATCTCATTACTATGCTTGATGTTACAGGGACCAGGCTTTCCAAACCACACTAAATATGTCATGTTTTTCATAGCTAAACACAGGGCAGTTTCAAAATGAAAATACTTTCTCTTATGTTTTCCAAAGCAGTCAAACAGGTTTAGGTCCTGATCTGCAAGGGGCACATTAAATGGCAATCAATCCAGCCTCCACTGCAGATGTCTGAGCCTGCAGCTCAGGCAAGAAGCCTGTCAGCAGGGCCAGGGTTATTCTAGATAAAGCAGCCTTGCAACAATATCACTGAACTCAGAGGTGACTTTAAAGAATCTGCATCTTCTCTTCAATCACATAATACTTTCTGCCACCTCCTTTTTATTTTATGACTATTATGTTGTGGAAGTTCATTGTTATTTTATAGCTTAAAATCATGGGTTCCTAAAGGCACCCTATGTTCCTATGTAGCACTGAGGCAGTCCTACTGGCCTTGTCTCTGAGACTGAACTTAAAAACTTCATGGGACCCCACTGCTGGTCACAGAAATATTCATTGTGCTCTGAAAACAAGAGCTTCTTCCCACTGAAAACTGCTCTGACACTCTGGAAAATATTTAATTTTCTTTTTCTGAAGAAATATGCAGTCTGCTGTTGAAAACAGAAGATTGGATGAACATAGCTCCTCATGAATTACATTTTTGGGGATTGTTGAACCACAAGGACACAGCTGTCCTCTATACTGTTAATTCCCCACTTTTCAAAGAGTATGGAACCAGTGATGAATTAGGTCTTAAAAACACTTTCTCAAGCACTTAAGTTTTATATTGATTTTGTGATTCTTGACATTCAATCTAATACATAAATGGACTTTCCATTGCTCATTTAAATAATGGACATTTGAAGAAAGTAATATAAGAAAAATAATTGAAATACTCTTACCTACTTGATTATTTTTCTTAGCAGGTCTAAATGAAGCCTGAAAACATATTTTGACAGTTATATCCGTATTCTTGTTCAGCAGACTGATTTTCTCAGGTTTAAATGAAGCAGTTATGGACACATTTGCAATGCTTCTTGACCTGACAAATATATTTAAAAAGTTACATGGGTTTTTGAAGAACACTAGGTAACATAGAAGCTGTTGTCTAACATTCTCTGTAAATGTTAGTATTGATTTTTTTTTGGTTCCCAATGTCAACTTCTTTTAATGGCACTAGAAAAATTATTTTTCCTTAGGTATACATGAATTTGTTGATATCATTGCTTATAGTAATAATGATATGTAGTTTCATGTCAAGTTAATGGCTGATTGATGGCTTCATCCTATGGTCTAATCAATCCCTCAAGGTATCAGAGAATGAAGCTCTTGGCCTATTTTCCAAATAAGTAACCTTCTGCTCTTCTGGGAAGGTGAGAATGGGTAATTTTTCATTTTATTTAATAGTGTAATTTTTCTGAAAAAGAACTTTGGTGTAATTAATCAAGATTTTGAAGAGTTTCAAAGGAACCCTACATGTAAAAACAAACACTTTAATCAAAATTAAATGCATTAATCAGCCCAAATGTAAGAGTGAAAGAAGAATCAGCATCTTCATTAATCAAATTTAAATAAATGCTGGTACTTCAAGGAGCATAATTTTCTTTAATAAAATTCCCAGCAGCAGCAGCAGCGGCAGTCAAAAGTCCAAACTGACCATTCATTTTTAATTATCTTGTTTCATTATGAAAGAAGTAGCAATTCACTAGTATTTTTCTTGCAATGGGGAGCCTTAGGCATGAAGACAGGCAACAGATAGGAAAGGAAACAGCATTTGAATTTAGTTCCTCAAGCAAAGAGTGGAAATCACAGCCTACTTAGGAAGGCAGATGATTTGGGTTCTGTGAAACTTTTTTAAATTTTGTGAAAGTACTCCAGCTTCTGTGGAAAAGGCAATGTGCCATTAAAAATGTGTTTCTTGCCAGAACTACTTGTCAGCTCTCTATTACTGCTCTCTGTCCTTACCCTGCAGGACAACACTCCCCCCATACCAGCCATCAGCCAGTAAAGGTCACGCAGGTTGTGTGAGACGTGGTTTCATCTGTCTCAGGCTCAGCTATCAAAATTATACTGTGGCTACTTAGGTGCAAAACCTGCTACAAATACCCTCCATCAAGCCCCATTCCCTGCTGCTGTCCCTTCCCTCTGGACCATGTGTCTGCACAGCAGTAGCAGGCAGATGTCTCCTGGCCCTCATTCCTGGTCAGGTCCCTCCCAGGCTCTGCCACCTGGCTTCCTCCCACATGTCCTGGTTCTGCCCTGTGTGCTGCCTTGGCTCTCAGTGGTTTAATGATAAATTCCTAAAAGAGATTTAGTCTAATGCTCTTTTTTTTAGGTAGTTTTGATAGCAGTGATGAGGCAGTAAGTGAGCTAGCACTGAACACGTTGAACAAAAGAGCTTTTTAATTTGCTTATTTTTCCTGTTTAATTAACTGCATGTTCAGTTGCTGCATCTGAAGCAGTAACTGCTTCCTTTCTAAGAAAGAGTATACTTACCATAGCACAACCACATTTCCATCAGCACCAACTGATACGTCAGTAATGCCATCATCATCTAAGTCTCTATGGCCATCTACTGATCTTCCAAAGAATTGGAGCTTTTGTCCAAAAGCAGAATCCGATCCTAAGATTTTCTGGGAAAGAGTTTGATTACTGAGTTTGCCAAATCATGTTTAAGTCCACAGATAGTACCCTAATTTTAACTGATACTCCCTGTATATGCAATGTGTTGTTTAAACAAAATTCATTTGTGGGTGTTTTATCAGATGCTTTTCTAACACTTCTTTCTCCTCTGTTGGAGCAGACAAAAGACTAGATTTTTCTGTCTTGGGAGCAAATCAACTGGCCGCTGTGTGCCAGATACAGCTGGGAACATTTTCCATCTCATATTGAGCAACTCTAAGAATATGAAGCTTAATAAGAGTTCTAACAAATACTTGCTGCAACCAGAAAATCTGCATAGAAAGAGATAATAAGATTACCATTATAGTATATATGAAGACCAGTGAAAGACTTTCCCTTTAATACTATGTATTTATAATTTGCAGAGCTGGGATTTATCTAATCTTCATTGCTGTACATCAACACTAAAAACCTGAAAATAATGAGTGTCAGTTTTAGGGCAGTAGTTGACTTCACACTCAGGTATCAAAAATGGCTCAGAATGAGCATTTTGCATGCTCATGCAAATGAACCTCTATATGGTTCATTTATAAGCACCACAACTCAGCCTGGATATGTTGACAGCTGAAAGGAGGATAGGCACAAAATGTAAAATAAACCATGAGAATAACAGTATTCCTTTAAGAGGTTGAAACAACACCCAACTAAAGTACAGAAGACCTTCTGTTTTCCTCTAACACATTTAAAGGCACCAAGTACAGCATTATGCAACAGTTATTTACCTGAGAATATTTAGTACGTATAGTCTTTTGAAATCCATTATAAATATAAATTGCTCCAGAGTTTTGGTTTTCCAGTGGCGCACCTATTACAACATCATTAGAACCATCCAAATCAATGTCTGCAAGTGCTGTGATTGCTGATCCAAAGCGTGCATTTTCTGACCCCTGTGGACCTTCCAAGAGTTCTTGTTGATCCAAGATTCTCTTTAAAAATTGAAAAATAAGAGAAAGCAGAAACACAGCTACCACTGCACCAGATTAGACCTATCTAATCTATCTATCTATGTGCATTGTTTTTTGTTTCTGTTTTCCAGTACATTCCCCTCAGATAGCTCAACACTGAATTCCTTCCCCATTGTATTGCCCATTCAGTTTGCATTATGTCTCAAAGTCTTGGCAAGAATTACACAGCAAAATCAAAGCATGCTAAGCAAAGTACTAACAGCAAATATAACCATATGTATGAAGCTTAAATGCTCTCTCTGTCCTCATCTGACTGTTCTGAAGTTTCACAATACATTGAAAAATACAGTTTCCAGTTTTGGATTACTGGTTTTTATGCAGAGGGAATGGAAATTATGTAACTGGACATAATTCTTTGAAACAGAAATGGAATTTCCTTACAAAACTAATGCAAAAAACATGTGTCCAAATGGTAAACTCCTGACCTCTCCAATGCCAATGAAGAAAGATTGGAGATCTTCATAGTTAAATAATCCCATTTACATCAGATTAAATGCAATTCTGGCAAATAGCATTCTCACCTTTAACTTCAGTTTCCATACTGTCTTAAAATTTTAGAAATAACAACCAAGTTATTTATTAAAAATGACTAGAAAAGTATTGCTTGTGCAACTTGCACAAATTGAGATTATTCTTAAAAAATATTAAAAGTACCTTTCATTATTCTTTCTTATTTAAAATTTAAACCCAACATTTGACAACAACTAAAAATTTTAAGATAGTCATCCAATTTATTTGGTTTTAAAAAGCAAATTAAAAAAAATTCTTTTGCTTTTCTTTTCTTCCATATCTTATGTCTGATACTACAGGCAAAAGGCCAATGTCAGCTGCCAACGTTCAGCTCCTCCATTGACCTTGAAATTGTTCTAGGGTAGTTTCCTGTTGCATCAGGATACTCTGACTGAGATCCTGCTAAGGAGCATGGTCCTTCCACTCTATTTACTTAATTGCAATTTACCTAGTAAAGACACCATTTTCTATTTTCTCTGATGGATGTCAGATATTAATTTACTTGGCAGACATCCAGTGAATGAAAGACTGTTCAAAAATGCCAGAGGGCTCAGTATGGTCTATACATATATCCTAAAAACATCTACTACAGGTCTGAATAAAAAGCACTGTCAGTCAAGCATCAGATAAATAACTAAGGCTTACTGAACAGAGGGGACAACAAGAGTTATGGTAACCATCCAGTGTTAGAGTCTATGAAACAATGCAGAAAGCTAGTAGAAGAGCATTTCTTAGAACTGCTTTGGGAATACTGTCAGGCATTGAATACATTCACCAAAAACAAATGGCAAATTACTTAACAAAAGCCTTAAGCTAAATTTTTCAGAGATACAGCCAACCCATGCTGTATTAGCATGAAGCACATGGCCTGACACCAGGACCAGGGAGACACTGAGAGCACCAGGCCTCTGACCACTAACAGTGCTTAGCTACTGCCTTGCTCACTGGCTCAATTTTGGTCTGTTCCATCTGCCTAATTCCCAGATTACATGCACAAGCAGTTCTGGGGCAAGTTTGCAGCTGCTACTGAAAAGCAGAACATGAAAGGCAGCATTAGAAAGGTCTCCACACACATCCCTCTAACCAGGAAGGCTTGGCACCATTCATCCCTGCCCTTATGCCACATCCCAGGATAAGCATGTGCTCTGTTTTTTATTAAAAGAAAAAAGTCACTTTAAATATATCTAACACTTTGAAAAGATTCACTAAATAGTGACTTTGAGGATCTGGAAGAGCCAAAGGCCTTTTAAGTATGCATGTGGCCAATCTGATTTGAAAGAAATTAGCCCTAGAGCAGCATTTAGGGCTTGAGCCATTTTTACCTTTGTGATGGAAAACATATATACTCTCCCTTCTTCCTTCTTCAGGTCATTCATAAACATTGGTGCACCCACAAGCAGCACATCTGTCACAGAATCCCTGTCAACATCAACTGAACACACCACACTGCCAAAGTAGGAGCCAATCTGAAATCAGAAGTAAATAGATTGTCGCTGTGTATGGTTTTTCTAAATCATGTTTTAGCACCTGATTCAGAAAACTTACATCCAGTAATATTCCAATGCTACTGAATGTTGAGGAATTAAATTATTTTGTAGCATGCTCCATTGTTGGAAGAATCATATCCTTACACATATTTCACTATTTCTGTCCCGTAGTTGCTATGGCTTTATCACTCAGCAATACAAATACCAACAGAAATTAAGATATGGGAGGTATATATTTTTAATAACTGCACATGAAACTATCCAGCCTCTGATCTACTCTCAGATTTGTCTTAAAGATGATACCAAAACCAACTAATACCATTCCTCTTTTCCAAACAGAGAAAAAGTGATTGCGTTTCCATATCTGCCTTCTCATGTCAGCTACTTCATAACTTCTTAGGCAGAGCAGAGTTTACTGAATGTCCATCTCCTGATTTGTATTGCTGACAGAAGGATACATTAGTTAGATTTGTATATTATCTTCTGCCACTAATTGGATGACTTCCTAAAATACTGTTTAAGAGTTAACCTAACCTCATTGAAATAGTCTAGTGGCAGAGAAAAGTTCAAGTGGATTGTAAATGCTTTGAGACAAAGAGGAATTTTCAAAACAAATTGCAATTTACTGCTGGGTCAATAAAAAAACGATTCCTGAAAGTCTGTATTCATGACCAAAATATACTTGCCTGCTCTCCTCTCTGTGATTGCACAATTGCAACATTACCATCACTGTCAACATTATAAACCACCACTCTGCCAGTGTAGTTGGATCTTGGTGCGCCAGCAACAAAATAGACAGAGCTCATAGTTGAGAGAACAGCAACAGAATAACCTGGGTATAGAAGTCAATATTTAACATATGTGAGAGATCTGCAATTACAATTTATCAGCTGGTTAGCCATAAAGGCACAGAGGATGAGTCAATCTGGTATGTTAATTGCACAGAGTGGCGATTCCACATGGGAAGTTATGCTGTCACATATGCATAATATTTGCAATATTCTGCTGGAGAGAACAATGACACACAGATCAAGTTGAAGCAGGTCTACAGAATAACACAATAGCTTAGCCTATTCAGTAAAATGTAGACCACAAAAATGTCATGCTTATGAAGGAGACAGGGAAAAAACGTGCAAAGAGTATCCTTGGAAAGGAGAAATAAAGAGAAATATGAGATGAATGTTTGAACCAGTCTTCAAACTAGGGAGGAACACCTAGCTTCTGCAAAGTTTGCAGTGCATTTTCCCACAGCTCACTAAACCACAGACCAGTGGTTTGTCTGAATAGAAGAGGCTATATTAACAGCTTGTCAGCTGAAGGGCTGATTGAAATTCTTTGAACATTTTAATGCTCATTACCATTATTTTAGCATTTATTTGCTTTCAGGAAATGTCATTTAATACTTGTAAAAATGTAAACATGTATTAGCAGTATAAAGCTAGCATTAGTACATACTTTAGATTTCTGTGGTTTAGTTCTAGCAAATTTATTTTAAGCAAAGAAAACAAAGTCATTCTTTATAAAGTCTACAGTTAATAATAAAATGCCAGTGATAGGACAGAATATGCAGATCTTTAGCAAGCTTCAGAACAATATGAGGAGCAGTCTAACAGGATTATGGCTTGATCTTTACATCACACTAGTCTAATTCAGATTTTTTGTTCAGACACAGGGTGAGAACAAGTTTTGTGACTGAAAGTTCAATGAGCAACAAAATGAGATTTTATTCTGCAAGTTAAGTTCGCACCTTCCTAATCAATGCAGAATACAATAATTTGAAGTGAGTGGGTGCCATGCGGAACAGGGGCTAATTGAGCAGGCTGTGATGTTCTAGTGGCCCTTTAACTTACACTCTTCCACACTGGTGAGAAAGAGCTGGCATGGAGATCTACTGGATGACAGAAAGTGGAAGGGAAATAAAGGGACAGAAAAGGCAACAACATTGGTTGCTCCAAAAAGATTAAAGAAAATACACTGATACTGCCTCGTAGAGAAAGAAAATTACCTGAGTTTTTAAAAATTATTAAGAAAATGAAGTAAGACAAAGTCTAAAGAGGTCATACACGCAAAAAGAGCTACTGCTCATTTGCTTGGGTTTAGAATTATTAATTTTGTTGGATGCAAGTAATGCTGAGCCATAGTGGAAAAAAAAGAGTATGTTAGTTGCAAAAAGAGCACATTATTAAATATCTTTAAGAATGAGAAAGTCATAGATGCTTAATGTATTAGCATTATTCAGGGATGGAACAGCAGAGTAGGCGTGTTGAAAAACAGTTACTGAAAACAGTTCCAATGATCTGAGAATACAGACTGGCTTTATTGGGTCATAAAAGCATGTCAAAAATACACATGGAGATTGAAAGTAAAATCTCTATTGAGTAGCAGCAATATTCAAAATCTATAAACTGAACTGGAAAAGGCTAAGAGAACAGCAAGCACACATGAAACAACAGAAAGTCAATCAGCTTCTCATCCACATTGAACTGTGTAACAGAAGCAACTCATAATGATCAGTATGATTCACTAAGCAGTCTTTTCAAATCCCATGATTTATTATTTCTCTGTGACTGTGCTGGTTTTGGATGGAATACAGTTAAAGTTCTTCACAGCAACTGGTGTGGAGATGTGATTTGGATTTATGCTGGAAACAGTGTTGATGACACAGGGATGTTTTAGGTACTACTTGAGCAGTGCTCACACAGCGCCAAGGCCTTTTCTGCTCCTCTGTGTCCCACCAGCGAGAAGGCCGGGAGGGGTCACAAGGAGCTGGGAGGGGACTCAGCCAGGGCAGCTGTCCACGAATGACTGCAGGAATGTCTCGTTCCATAGCCTGGCATGCCCAGCATGTAAAGCTGGGGGAGGAAGGAGGAAGGAGGAAGGAGGAAGGAGGAAGGAGGGCATGTTCAAAGTGATGGCATTTGTCTTCCCAAGTCACAGCTGTGTGTGTTGGAGTCCTGCTGTCCTGGGGTTGGCTGAACACACCTGCCTGCCCATGGAAAGTGGTGGATAAATCCCTTGATTTGCTTTGCTTGCATGCTTGACTTTCACTTTCTCTGTCTGTATCTCAACCTAGAAGCTTCCTCACTTTAACTCTTCTGACTCCCCCATTCTCATTTTCCTTAAGAGGATTGACTTGAGTGGCTGCTTAGCTGCTAGCTGGGGTTAAACCACAGCAGTGACAAAGACTGATTTTGCTTTTTTTAGTAGGATTTTTTTTAAAATTCAAGTTTTTATTCAATGAACTGCTGACAAGTAAAAAAGAATCTTTTTTGACCAAAAATTTTTTCACATTCTCAAAGAATTTCTTAATACAAATCTGGCTAGGGGAGAACCTTCCAACTTACTTAATATCTTAATCAAGGTTTCATACATTTCCAGATTTGTATTTCAGCCCCTTACCTAGATATGAGCTATGATTTCTGTCCTGTAGAATCTTCTCAAACACATGGCTTGGAAAGGTGATGGCTCTGTCTGAAGACTCCTGAACTACTGTTCCACTCCAGTCATAGGCCCCAACTGCACCCAGCAGCAGAACATCCTTTAAAAAAGGAAAGTCTACATTTTAGAACTACCTGATTTAGAAAAAGTGTGATCAAAGCTGAAGGTCCTATGCATAGTCTCCTACATCACTGTGTCTAAGCCAGTGATGCAGACTAAAGCCTGCAGGCAGCTGATTGGAGCAACTATGAGCAGCAACTATGTCCCATTATGAGGGATCATCACCCTTCTGCTGCAAGAGGATAAGTAACTGCTTTGGTTCCCATGGAACTGCAACTCATGATAAAATGGGCTTATTTAAACACTGTGATAATTTCCTATGTCTGTCCACACTGGGCTTGTGCTTGCTAAATCCATGCTTTTATGCACCCATGATCCTCAGAAGACTGAGGATCACACAAATGCAGCTGTACAAAAAAGCTAAAGTCCTTTTTCTCGACAACAAAAGTGCCAATGACAGCACAGAAAAGCTGATGTGAATAGATACAGTTTAATTCATTACATAAGGAGATGTTCTTGAGAGAAGAGTTAAATCTAAAATCCAAATTAGCATGGCTCATTATACAGAATACTTCATACAGAAACACTTAATCTTATACACAGAAAACAAACATAGTTCAGTTTACTCAAGTTATTAAAATTCTTCACTAAACTGACACACTGTTATAGAAAACTGAAAAAAAATTGATTGTTATTTTCCTAAAAAAATGCTCATATTTTTATCTTTTTTTTTCCATTTCTTAGGATCAACTGCTTCAAAATTTAAAACTTCAATTTGTGCAAATACAAATTCAGTTTTATAAAAATTATTTCATTCATCTTTAAGTGTTATGAGAAAGAAACAATCTTCTGGTATTTTCAGTTGAAAACTGATTGAATCACATTTGGATTTTATAAGAATGACTTATTTGATAATCTTGAAATTGATTAGCACTAAAATATATCTAATATTTTGGTTCTAATTTTTAAGTGAAATATGCTTTAAACAAATATAATTAACTTTATAATTTATAGAGAAATTATTTTCTCTAAAAAGAGATAAGATTTGATTTATTTATATTTTGGTGGCTGCCTACCAGCTTTACAATATAGCTAGTCAGAAACAAGGAGGATTTATATTTTTCTTGCTATGTGATTCAGAAATCACTGCAATTATTGCATTAACACATCTCAAAATTAGTACCTGAAACAAACTATAATACAACTATACTTATTAATACATATTTAAGTAAAAAAATGAAACAATAATTTGATATACTCCTGCTTATAAAAAGTTTTAAAACTGGACACTCTGTTTTTGTTCCTCTTTTCTTACACTCATGTGTAAATATGTGCACCTATTTGTACCATTAAATAATTAAACTCACATACCTTTTTTTGTGAGTAGTATGCACTGAAGCCCACCTGTGACATTTCCATTTGGAAGGTATCACCTTGGTCAGTACCTGGTAAAACAGATATGCATATATGGTTATCTCTACGTAAACACACAAAATCCAATGTTGCTGCCTCTGAGTTTAGCTATATAGGGGCTGTGTATATCCACCAATTTGGCTAAAGCATTTACAAGCAATGGAAATCAGAGCTGGTAAAGAGTAGAAAATTGGAGGATTTAATGGCAAATTGATAAGATGGAGCCAAGAGCCATGCTATAAGTCTCTTCCAAAAAAAGGGCAGAAGGTGATGCTCAAGATGGTTTGAATCAATTTGCACAGTCTTGCCGTTGTGGCTGGTCTCATTTTGTGTTTCCCAGGAAGCATTACCACCCTGAAATTAACAGCTTTAATGACTGTATATTCACAACTTCCAAGCAGAATAGGATTTTTTATTTTCGTATAGGACTTAAAAAAACATGTTGGAATTGTACTGTGACATCCATTTCCTAAGCTAGATTGATAGGAATTCAGTGGGAGCACTCAGTAAAAATACTGATTCTCTTGCTTTGAGTAGTAGCATGGGCCTAGCAAAGAATAAATGAAGGTGAAAGAGAAGGGAAGATTTCTTCCTGAGCACAGGAAAGTGGCAGACATAAGCTTGTTAGGGAGTTGAGGGCGGGTTACACATCTCCAAGGCAAGATCTGAATTTAACTTAAATTAAAAAGCTGGCTTTTGGGATAGCCAAAGTACCTCTGTGACACCTTTGCAACACCTTCCTCTGAGCAATACACAGGAGTGTGGGTGGTACTAGGGAAGGGGCCTGGTAGGCACCACACAAATTGCTTTTTCAGTTCTGTAACCCAGTCTGCTGGTTTGCTTTGTTTGGGTTGTGGGTTTTTGTTGGCTTGGTTTTTTTGTGTTTTGTTTTCTTTTTGTTGTTGTTATTTTTGTTTGGTTTTGGTTTGGTTTTTTTGTTGTTTTTCTTTTTTTAATTTAAAATATCTTAGGATTCACACAGGTAAAGCTCAAAAGCATAAAGATGCCTTTATTCTTCTGGTGGTAAAAAATACATTTGGTTGCATATGGAAAAACTCCCAAGCCTGAAGCCCATGATATGATAGAAATTTTCATTAGCTGGGGAATGTTTTCCCCAAACTGCATAAATTAACTTAAAGCTCAGGCTAATTAGGGGTGGAGTAGCTGGGGGAAAAACTATGAAAACCAGAGCCCTCCTGGTGAGCAGGGAGCAACCTGCAGCTCAAGCTACCCCCTCACTTTCACAATACTGCACCAAACTGAAGCTAAATAAAATCCTATTCTTGTCAGCTGGGAGAATCTTATCTAATTTTTCAAAGATGTTGAGTATTTTACCTTCTATACTAAAAATGCGTTCTCCAAGTGTTCCTGCTTCTTCCAGCAGTGCAGCCTCAGACGACACATTGAAGAAATACTTTTCTGTTGGGTGACTAGCAATTCCCTTGATTTCTTTAATTAAGTTTTTAGTATCAAGTTCATGCCTTATTAAGTATCCCAAAACCTTGTGTTGAGAAGCAAAGAACAAAATAAGAAGAGAGAGATCATGGTGCTACTTAATTTCCTTCTGTATTATATTAGCAAATATTCTACATAGTTTTAAAAAAGTTACCTTTATTCATATTACTGAGTTGCTTATTAGAGTTCGTTCCTATGCAAGGGACCATTCATACAGGAAAAGTACATAATGCTTGGCAAGGGAGCAAATCACTGAAGTTGCTCAGGCAATTCTAGTCTTGCTTTTTAATCCAGTGAAAAGACCAGAATTTCCAACAGTTCAGAGGATTAATGTGACTTTGCTTCAGTCTCACTAGCGTAACAATGTGTGCATTACATACCACTTTTGTATAAAACATGTGCTTTGATACATCCATAACAAAACAACCTCTCAAACATGCAGTAATGTATAATTTCAGTATTACTTACAGCAATGCCAAATCTGGTTATATTGTCTTCATTGCATTTACCTATCACTGTTTTCAAGTTGGAGCCATCATGTGATTCACCGTCTGTCACAACAACCATGACTTTTGTGGCAGTCGGGCGTCCTCCCGACTCAGCTGAGAAGGCATACTGTCTGTTATAAAACATTGTGTTTGTCACACATCAATCCACAATGGATGGAATCCAGCACATATACTGTAACGGATGTGTCCATCACTTAGAATTAGAACAAGTTACTTCTGTAGTGCATAAGAAGCAACTTGGAATGCCAACAGGAATCGGCATCACCAAGCTCAGACAAGAATGGAACAGATTTAATAATAGGCTTCTCAATACTACAGCAATTATTGACTCCACTGTAAGCTGAATCTGTTCCTATGCCAAATTCTCAGGTTCATTTGATTCAGCATGTATTTTGGCCTCGAGTTCTGTACTTGATTAAACTTCAAAACAGCATCTTCTGTTGAGAAATTGACCTAGTTTGTATATGTTCCCAGAGCCTAAAACATTGGTTTAAATTTTCCCTATTTTTTCACACTCATGGTGCTGCAGTGACAAACAGACAACAGACAAGAGGGTTTATTTTCTCTGCAATCAACCAAAGCCTGATCTGCAAACACAATTGTTACTGGGCCCACTGAATCCCTGGATAAACTTTACTTTTTTCAGTGATTTTGTATCTTTCCTAAAACCTTGTCTGCTCTGATGCACTGTCACGTTTAGAGATATGTGACATAACAAGCAATTCTCTTGGGTGCTAGAATTCCTTTAGAGCAGAGTTCAACCCAATGGTTAACAATATGCTTTTCAGCAATTCTAGTTTACATATTCCTGTACCAGTCTGCATGGGACACTGTAAATGTACCTGATGGATTCTGCCTAGTGCTGGGAACCTACTCCAGAGGTGCTGGGTACATGGTCTTCCAGTGGGAATGAAATTCAGGATGTTCTCATTGTCATGTAAGTTATAATAGTTGCACAGTAAATCATCAATGCATCTCACCTTGCATTGTCAATGGCTTTGAAAGTATTAGTGAGATCTCCTCCCTTCTGAAACGTTCTCTCCATTGCTTTAACAACTTCATCCTTGGTTTGGTATGTATTCAAGTTGAAGACTACTCGAGGATCATTAGCATACTGAATTAAACCCACCTATGCAATTAAAAAAATGGTGTTAGATTATGATGCTTTACAATTAGTTACATAGAATCATGGTGATTGCTTATGCATCAGGCTGGTGTAAAAAGTCTGCAAATGCACAGTTCCCTTTCAACACATATGCAACCAATTAATATTAACACATTTGAAAAGCAAAGAAAGCTAAAATGCTCTTGCACTTTGTATCATTTGTTATGGGCTACAGTATGTTACTGCAAATGATCTGAAATAGTAGACATTAAATGTTTGCTTGGTTACTTCCGGAAGGGCTGATGGATAGCAATATACAAGGAGCTCTGGGAAAAAAACAGAAAATAGCAATAGTTCTACAAGCTGACAGCACCTTAGTCTCATCTCTTCTAAGGAAGTCCTAAAGGTTAGTTACTTTACAGCACTGCAAACCCTACTTGTTTTTAATATAGGTGAAACTAAAGATGTAAGATAAGATGTGCATTTAAAAGAAAGGGAAAAAAGAGAAGATGCAAAAGGTGAGGTTCAGAAGGAACTGAGCAGGAAGCCTAGCTTTTAAGCACCTCACTTCCAAAGTAGCCAAAGGAAGAAGGCAGCCTTTGGGAGAGAGATTTCCAGTGCCCCAGTCTTTGTTCTCAGAACTGTTTGGGGAAAATGGACAACTGTAAAGACAGAATATGTTTAAAACAAAAAAGGCAATAAAATTTTCCTTACCATCATCAAATCAAAAGGAAAAAAAACCCTCAAAGATCAGTGAGTAAAGCATCAGGAAAATTTCCTGTTTTAAAGATGCAGCAGTTGGAAAGTAAGAGTTATATGAAAAGTCCATTAAAAGTATGTTCTACTTTTATCACATCCCCAAAGACTATTTTCAACTACTTTTACATCTAATGCGTGAAAGAGATCTGACTCCCCTAGATGAAACACAGACTTCTATTTCAGCTAATTTACATTTTGGATCAAATTACTAATATGTTTTGAAATAGGATAACCATGAGATAAAATTCCAAACACTGAGTAGGATAACCAAGTAGGATAATCTGTGGCTTTGCTTGAGGTACTCTAGTTACACAAAATCATGCTTGGTTTTCTTTAAAATTGGTTGGTTTACATTTTGTTTGGGTTTTTTTGGTCTTTCTCAAATATGTCTTTAACTTACCTGGGTCTTGTTAAGGCCTATGTCTAAGCCTTGTACAAATTTTTTCAAAAATGCCCGCACTGCATCCCAGGGATAAATGCTGTTTGACTCATCACAAACCACCACAACATCTATAACAGAGGAACACTCTAAAACAAAAATAGGAAACGGACATTAAATGCATCTGCAGTCTCAATATACTCCTCAGTTAAATCCAGAGGTGCCTATTTAGGTTTCACACAGGCAAAATTTCAGATCAGGAGGCTTTGCCAGAATGAGAACTCAATAAGAGCATACGCAGGTTTTAAGCCAGCACTGGCATAATATATCTGTATACAGAGGATTAAGACCATATTTGCATCAGCATTGGATCACAATTTGTCAGTCTTTGCATATCAATCCCAGGACTTTGTTTTTGGCACATACTTTTTTCTTTAAGATATCAAAATTAACAGTCATCAACACAGTATCTCTTGATTTTGTTTGATATGTTTGCTTGTTTGTTTGAAATTGAATCTGTTTTGGACATGTTGCCTTACTTTGAAGAGCTGGAGAAAAGCTTCTTAGGATCTCAAAACTTGGGCTGATTTCCGAACAAACTCCTGTTGCGTAGTACTGTCTTCCACACTGCTGTGCCCACAAGGGACCACAAGTCTTAAAAAAATAACAGCAGAAAGAAAGGATAAAAATAACAGATACTTGTCTCACCGTACCTATACACAGCCACCCCAGCAGGACGGCAGGCACATGGATCAGCGCGGCTCCGTCGGTGTGGGCGCAGCCGGCACCCCCCGACCAGCTCCTCGGGAGCGCAATTCCCGCGGGCCCGCTGCAGCGCCGCCGCCGGCCGCCAGGTGGCGGCAGCGCCCCGCGCGGGAGCCGGGCGGGACGCGGGCGGGACGCGGGCGGGACGCGGGCGGGACGCGGGCGGGACGCGGGCGGGACGCGGGCGGGACGCGGGGGCGGCAGCTCGGAGCTCTCCGCAAACCTCCTCCCAGCGGGAATTCGCCTGGCAGGCACAGGCCGGGCTGCACCACCTCCCGCCTCGCGGTGAGCACCGGCCCATTCGGCCACACCAGCGGGAGAGGTCCGCCCCCGGCCGCGCATCCCCCCAGCTACATGTTTTATTGGCTTTGGGGGAAAATGGCCCTGCTTCGCTGCTGGAAACAGTCCCCGGAAATAGAAGTATTTTCAGCTGGATCAGCCTGCTGTCATTTACGTCTTTATACATCTTTATATGTACTGATAGCAACCACATATTAAGACGGTATCTTGCCGTGAGAATATAGGGGGAGCTGTGTGTGTGTGTGTGTGTGTTTGTGTATGTGTGTGGGTTGGGGTGGCGAGTCGGTGTGGGTGTATTTCCTTGTTCAAAGAAAACATTATAAACTCGAGGAAATAAATATAACCTCTACATAACCTCTCTCCAACCGTTCTGTGAGAAATTACAGCTTCCTTATATATACACTCTGGTTGCACCAGCCTTTATTTAGGAAAAGAGGGACTTTTCTCAAGAATACTAGAGGGCAGAAAAAAGTAATTAAATTCAAAAGTAAGTCGAAAATGAGCTAAATCACCCACTGGTTTCTCACTGAGAGACAGCATCAAACTACCCTAAGATATTTGACCAGATGGCGGATTTTCTAGATGAGAAAGGAAGTATATCCACATTATCTGATCCTGAGATAAGTGCTTTTTTTTAGCTGCTACACAAAGCATGGTTAGTTCATACTGAAAAAGACAGATTTTTAGACAGGTGAAAGGTACAAAATAAATCATCTCTTTGAAGTCGGAGGAGAGTTACTAGCCTTTAAAATTAATAAAAACTTCATTTTAGATCAGTCTTATTTGCCCATTTTCTAACTTTTTTTTCTGTATTGGTGGTAGTTCAAGACATATCGATCTTGGAGCAAAAAGCAAAAATGTTCTAATAATTTTTGTTGATCATCCGAGGAACAAAAAAGAGGAGAAATTAATGTTCTAGCATTTGCTTAAGTCAGAAATTTAAGATGCATCATTACTGAAGGGGAGATCACATATCAAGGACAGATGAACTTGAAAGGCAAAAAGTTATAAAGGGGCAGAGACTTGCCCTTCAGGACTAACATTAAGAAATTGGGCATAAACTGGAAGGTAATTGAATGGAAGGGAGAAAAGCACATGGATTGGGCACTGGATGACTGCAGGGTGTCTGCAAACATGCAGCCAGGATACAAAGCAAATATGGCTTAAAGATGTGTGACAAGAAGCTGTTGAGTTGGAGAAATACCAAATACACTGTAGTGCCCGGGAAATACTCAAATGGAATACAGCAGAGACCTGATCACTGATGTTTGAGAGAGACATATTTTAAAAAGAACATTTCAGTCAAAAAACTCTGTATTTGTTTAGCAAGGCAAAGGAGAAAGGTGGTTGTGGGCTGTCAGATAGAAAAGGGAGATTTTACATGCAGGGAGATGAGAGCTGCTGCTTTCAACTAAAGGCACAGCACTGCCCAGTAAACAACCTGATAAAAATACAGATTGGAAATCCAGAAAAACTTTGTTAACTGTCAGTGAAATTCTTCAGCACCTCTCCAACAGGACTAAGCATGCCTCAGAAAAATGTAATGAACGTGTGGGAAATGACTGCCTTGAACTTAGAATACCTGTGGGAAGCAATCCCCTGCCATCCAACAGCCAAACCAGCAGGACTCAGGAGCTGCAGCACAGACATGCCAGCCTGAAGTCACACTCCCAAGCCAAAGAGCCCAGGACTGAGCACCGGGACAGGCAGATGGAGGCTGAGAGAGGCCACAGGAGGAAGGAGAATGGTGAGCTGGGAGGAGGAAGCCCTGAAATAACCCCAAAAGCCACCACACAGGCCAGCCGCCACAGAGAGAGTCTTGGAGCAAAGTCCCAGCTGGAAGCAGCTTGCAAACACAAACAGGCAGTCCACACATTGGGTTCAATACCTGCCACAACTAAGCCATGGGGCTTTTGGTATTTGTTGAGGTTGAGTCACAGATAAGCACCTGTCTCCAGTACCTCGTTCTCCTTATGTCAAAAAAAGAACTGTTGATGAAGATGTGACTGTTTATGTCTTAGAATTGAACCTGGCTTTTTGTGGGTTTGTTTCTTTTTTTTTTAAATCCATGCAATTTAAGAAGACTCAATCAATAACGTGGATCAGGAAATACTTTTTATTGGAGAGAAGTTCAAAGATTATTAGAAAATACAAATTTCCCTGCATGAGCTATTTTAAAACAGTGAAGTTACTCATACTAACTAAAAGTCAATGTGCATAGGACATTAACAGTAATTGAAAGTATTATTCAGGAGAGAGAATAAGATTTTTTAATCAAGACCTTTTCAAGACACAAGTCAGGAAAATTACTGTTGCTGTAGTTTGAAGTTATGAATAACTTTACTCATCACATGAGATCTTCTGGAAAAGTTGGAATTAGGCATACTTCTAAGTACTTCAGTGAACTGAACTACTTGTTAATGAATATAATAAATACTTGAATACTTTTGTGATTACTAGGAAGACACATTGAAAAATACAAAGCATAAGGACAGCCTAGAGCTCTTCTCTCTGTATTTTGTTGTTTTACTTACGTACTGCACATGGCTACATCAATCTGAAATACACCTACACACCAAGAGTTTTCATGCTTATGATTAGGATCATAAAATAGCATATTAAAGAGGCATTCATTTCCTTTCAAGTAAGAATTCTATTTTGCAGGCTCCAAGGACAGTAGTTTGTGAAATATACTCTGAGAAAATGACAAGGTCACTAACCAAATAAATACACCACAAATCCAAGAGACCAGAAATACTGACACCTCAGGAGAACAGTGCCTGTGCAAGTGTGAATGATAGAGGAGAGATTATATAAAGTCCACTGAAAGTACAATCAGAACTATACAAGACTGCATTAAATAATTTAATGGTGGAAATATTCTTGCCTATATTGTCTGACTTAAATTACTGAGACATGAATTAGGATAAGATGTTTAGATAAACAACAAAGGAGAGATCTCACAATTTTCCTGCATTAATGATATATTTCACAATTTATTTTGGACCCTAGGTAATTGCAGTGGGATATACAAATCCATGCTCCATAATAAAATACATTTAGCTTGGACTTATGAAAAAATGTGGAGAACTCTGGTTTCTTAATTCTCTTCAGAAATTTCTATGTACACTACATATGATCTTGATACATACCAAAAATACTCCAGTTTTTGAGTTCTGTATCAGAGTCAAGCCAAGGTTCATGTCGTCTTTAATTTCAGTCACATTTGGAATATTTATTAAAGCTGAAATAAAATTAGATTACATAATTGCAGAAAAATAAATGAGATTTAGAAGCAATTTACAAACATAGAATTTGTTTCAAAAACTTGATTTTTCATAATCTAAGGTGGCTTTTCCAAATGGCTGCATACAATTCCAAGACAAAAGAAACAAAAGCCAATCTTTGGGGGAAAAAATTGCTAACCATCAAATATAGAGACTGATTAAGTATGGCCTTTTAGAATATCTTCCCTCAAGAGAGCTGAAGGCAAAAGAGAGGAAGAAACAATCTACCTATTGCGTGTTTTTGGCTGGCTGAGTAGATGCAGCTGAGTAGCTACTGTTAAATTCCTCAGGACACCAGACTCCTCTGATCCAGTATCAGGCTTTAGACAAAAAACTGGAAGGGACAGCAGAGGGCAGAAATTATCTGCACCACAAATAAACAGAAAGGAGGCATCTCAGCACACCCAGCTGCCTCATATTTTCACTGTATCCAAACTTGCACTCCATTTTATAACTAACAGTTTGCAAACACAGACACACATGCCTACCTGGTTTAGGGAGGACAGGGACAGGCACCCGCCCCTGGATGCCAGCAGGGAGCTTGCACCCACCATCTTTGGGACCCACAGTGCTCCTGCCCCATGGCTGGAGGGTAAAGACCCCAGGTGCTCCAGTGGGTGACACTGAGACCCCAGTGCCTCCAGCAGCTGGAACCACCTGGCCTGAGTACAGTGGCAGGCAGCAATTTTTGCTCAGACAGACACATCTCATCAGTGCTGAGGCCTTGCAACACACACACACACCTCCACAGAATCTGAGATCATGCAGACAGATAGTTAATGAAAGTTTTAATAAGGTAGACTGGCCTCGTACAAACGCAAGGGAAAACTGAACATGTGCAGCAAGATACTGTTAGTTAGAACGTACCTTGTAAATTCAATTTTTTACATGTGTTTTTGGACACACCAACAGGACATGCATATATATCTCCAGTTCTGTTCACAGGATAGCCACTCCAGGGTGAACCAACTAACAGCCTAAAGGAAAAGGAACTTCATTAGGTCCTTAACCATACTGAAAAAGTTCAGCAGCATTGCATGGCACAATATGGGTACCAGGTAGAGAAGCTTTCACGAGCACCCAAGGCATTCAGGTGTAGTAATCTTCTCCAGAATTGTTCTGAAGCTTTACTTGCATGTCAATACACTGCACTGGATTCACCAGGGGCAGCTTTGGTGGAGAAGAATGGGACAGTCTTTGGGGATTCATCTGCCTTTCAACACGTATACCATTTTTAATGTGATATTATGTCATAGGTCAGAAGAAATACAGTGAAGGTACTAATATACATAGAAACATAAAAATATATATGTTAGGGATCAAGATACATATTACTTATTGTTCCATCAGCTAATGGTTAACTGATTCCTTTTACATTATTCTTTTAACTGATGGAAGCATTTTCTACAGGATCTTCTCAGCAACAATAAAACACTTATGTCTGAGCTTGAGCACTACCACACCTCTGAGTCAGAAAGAAAATACTGCAGGTTTTAACAATATGCTCCATAAAGTCTGTAATCCTGAACAAGAAAGTTAATACTTATGAAAATTTTGCCTGCAACAAAAAGTGATTCATGTTCTCTGACTCATTTGTTCATCTGCCATAAGGTTTCCCCCCAACATCTGCTCAAGACTCTTATCTGAAAGCCTTCACAAAACTGTTTAGTTCACCTTCTTGGAAAACTGCTTAAGGACACATATGTTTCATCAAAGGTCTCTAAATGATGGTCTCAAGGGTTATTAAAAATAAACCAGATTATTGAAAAGCAGGGACTGTGGGTGTTTGCTCCAGCAGCAATATGACTTTATTTTCAAACAGAACAATCCATGGTAGTAAGTAATGCATTTTGGAGACCGTAGGAAGACAAGCAATGGGGCCTCAATACAGAATATTGAATTAAATTAGAAATAATTTTTTTTTAGTCCATCAATAGGTTGTTTAAAGCAAAATTGCTATTCTATAAAATTTTACAGGTGGCTAACACAAATATATCTTGTGGTATTAAAATTGTGAAATTATTATATTTTAAAGCAATTTCTATATACATCATATTAACTTCATAGGGATCATCTGATTTTACTGTTGTGATGTTAGTTTGAATAAAATGGTTATGACAATTAAGAGTTTTAGATGCATATGAAAGAGCTTTAGACCTTTTGAGTATGCTCAGAGAAAATACTGCTAAACTGCATTTTCTTTTTTAAATTTATTCCACCTTGATTAAACACAAATAACATTATTTTATCAATTCTGCTGGGGGTTTAGTTTCAGATTTCCTTTCTTGTGTGTCTGGGTATTTTAAGAATGCCTAATTCCTTCTCAGTTACCTTGTTGGAAAAAGGTGATCATGCAGGCAGCAGGAACAGGACTTTGTGTATTTCTAGCATCTCTAAATATGCAACTTAGCTTCATAAAAACACCTCTCTCTATCAAAACAATTGCAGTAAATGTGAGGAGGCCTCTAATTTTCTTGTTATTTTATGAATGTTTCTGAGCCTTTTCAGCACAGTGGAAACCAGAATCACCACAGCTTAGGACCAAATAAATAGAGCTCATAAGCAGCTACTGCACTGGTCGTGTGCCAAGAGATAACATAATCTGCAAATACTTGCAGACACAGAGGGCTGGAGTTGGTCAATAGTAGGAGGAAGAAGGAGGAAGAACAGGAGGAAGACATGGTGCTACACTCTCTCACCTTGCTAGGTACTACTGAGTTAGGTACAGGCATAAAATGCTAACTGGGCTGATGGGGGGGAAGGGTTAGGAGTCTGTGGAAAGAGGAAAGAGCTTTAAAATGGATGGTAACAATGTGTGTGCAGTATCTGAAACTGGAACAACTTTCCATCATTAACTGTCAAGCTGAACATTGCACTGTGTACATTTATAAACACTGGCAATTTTTTATTAAGTTTCCCAGAAAACAAACATATTTCAGTTCTTTCAGGATAACAGCTACTGTTCAGAAAATGGCCTTGTATCTTGGAAATACCCCCTGCATCCATTTCCATCCAGTCATGAAACACACTGTGAATCTCGGTGTTGTGCTGGCACTGCTCTGCAGGCACAGGTTTTCCTGGGAGCCCAGAGCACACAGTTTCACTCACAAGAGTGAGTGAGAAGAGAAACAGAAGCATGCTTGAGCACTAGCTGACGCCAAATCCAAGCCTATCTCCAAGCTAACTCCAAGCTCCACCCCTGCTATTGGCATAGGAACAAGCATGATCCCTGCTCTAGCATTTGCTAAAAGCTGTTCTCTCCTTTTCAGCATGCATACTTTTGCTCATTCCATGCGCATTATTTGCCTCCTATTTTCCCTGCCCTCAACATTTACTGCAATCCAGACATCTGCTTATACCAAGGAACTATCACTTAAAACTTGATACTCACAAGATAATTTTACTTTGCTACCCCTGAAACTAACAGTGGGGTTGGCTGCATGGTACAAACAGGAAAATATAAGATAAATGAGATGAACTTTTCTCATTTTAAATCCAGATTTAAATCTATGCCAAATAATGAAATTTAATTTTGTCTTTCATTTGTCCTGCACTCCTCACAGTTTACTGGGACTTACTTTATTTATTTTTCTGTGTTCCTTGTAGATTTGCAGTTTGTGAATCTCAATGTCATACCTATATTGCAGGCCAAAATATTGCCACTCCATACACAGAATTCACACTTAGAACTGACTGTTACTGAAAGTGATTTTCAGAAATCAACAGAGCTCTCAAACCTATGGCATTATTTGACTTAACTAGTCTAACCTGTCATCAATACATGCCTGAGAAAAAATTAGTAACCAACTTATGCCAAGCTTAGCCCTCTACTTTTAACTGCCAGCTTTAAAGGCTCTAGGAAATAACATGATTTCTATTTCTTTTGTATTCTTTGCCCTACTTAATGTTTAATACCAGCCTTAATCTACATAAAGAATCAGAAAGTTCTACTTGCTGATTAACATAAACCATTACAGTGGGGAGTTACACAACACTGCTCTGGGAAAATGCATGTGTATCTTTCTGAAACGTCAGAAGTGAAGACAGCAAAGGAGTATCTGGCTAGCATCCTGCTAACTACAATTTCTTTTTTTACTGTAATTAGACAGGATACATGACACAAACCGAAACGGAATATATCAGGAAAGAATGCAAGAAAGCAGTACGGAAATACTTGAAAATTCTTGTTTCCAAATAAACTGTATCATGTATAGTGTATTATGGCTCTTTTTCAGCCATGAGTTAAATATTTATTCTTACAAAACCTCTTTATGTGTCCTTGCAGACCGTCTTTACAAAATACTATAGTGAGTATAATGTAATATTGCTACTGATGTTATTATTCATCTCCCTAATCATTCTACAACACTGTGTACAAAGCAATGGCACTAGGAAGTCAAATGAAGTACAGCCTTACCACACAAGCTGTAGGAGTGGCAGATCAAAGTGCAACAGGAATTATTTCTGGGAAATTACACCATGACAAAGCCAGTAATCAGCAAACTGTGATGTAGCAGAAAGTAACATCAGAATTCATAGTAAAGGGCTGAGTTCCCAGCTGTTGCCAGAGCATGTTTTGTGTTTTCTAGTTTCTTTATTTTTTTCTTATTTCTTCTCTTCTTTTATTGTGTTGTGTTTTGTTTTCTAAACACAAAGATTGCTAATAGGAAAATAAGAGTAGAAAAGAACCTCTTAGATCATCTGGCCTTTTTCCTACAATTACAGGAAGTGATGAGCAGATATGAAGACCAGAAAACTCCTCATGCTCATAGAAGCTTCTCTGCACACACTAAAACACTTTTCACCATCTAAAACTTTTGATCCTTTTAACAAGAATTAGAATTTCAAAAACTACAGTGAGCTATAGCAAAAGAGTTTGAATGATAAACTCAGAAGTCCTAGAAAAAAACAACCAGAGCTTCTACAAGCAGGAAAAGGGCAAACTGTGGTGCATGCAGTCAGGGAAAACAAAACTGGGTAAAGAACTCAGCATTAGTAGTGGCTCTGGCACTGAAAAGACAGAGCTGCAACAATGGCAGCTTCTGTTAGGAGGGAAAAAAAATCAAAAAATTACCCTCCTCAAAAGAAATGGCCTTCCTCATTAAAATCTGAAAGCTTTGAAAATGTACTGATTTCAATTGAAGTACATACAGAAATGTGTCTTTTTGGCAAAATGTCTTATTGGTCTGAAGAGGCCATACAGAACCTCAGGAGAAAGGCCACTATATTTGGTGACCAGTGAACAGTAGGCAATGATTTCTCAAAATACTTTTGATTGTGAAATAATTATGAGATACATCAGTAAGTGCATTTTGTGCACTTGCTTATTGTGTCATTACTGACATTTGAGATGAAACAAAATATTTTAAGACAAAAATCCCACAATATAAATTCAAAACCAAAATAATTTTTAAAATTGCAAATTCTAAGCACACAGACACAGCTGAGCATGTGTCTGAAGACATGTGTGTAGGAAAAAGCATTTCACAGCTATCTACAACTATTTCAATCTTCCTCACCTGAGGAAGCTATAAAATCAACTATCAGCATGAAGTAAATATGGCTACCTCTGAGGAATATACTGTCAGCTACTGTTCAGGGAATATGCATTCAAGATGAATTTGATAGGGTACAATCTGGCTTTCTAAAAAAATTATATTTATAAAACAACAGAAATTTAAGTCTCAATTTAAGATTTAAGATTTAAGACCTCTTGACAGGTAGAGCCACAGCATAAACTGAATTATGTTTCTATGGTGTCTAATTACTTGTGTGATGAACTGCTTTTCTAATTGACGAGTTTTCATTGGTATTCACAATTTTTCTCAAGTTCATTAAAGACTCCTGTTTTGAAATTTCCATCTGAAATTGTGAAAAGCTTGAGCTGTGCTTGACTTGCAAGTTTGTCCCTATTTATGAGTATCACACGCCATCAAGGCTCATCAATGCACAGCGGATCAGTGCCCAGTTATCCTGGATCCTCTGTCTCTAACATAAAAAGTCTTCCTTGGTGGTTTGTGCCACAGCATCCCAACATGTACCAGACTCTTCAATAGTCCTGCATTCCCTTTTGGACTGGCTTCCCTCTTCTCTCTGAACTCATCTCTAAGCAAAAGTGAAAACCAGTAACAATTCTGCAAAAATTCTTTCTTTATCATTTCTTTAGTTCTTACAGCCTCAGGAGATGCACCTCCCAGAAATACTGCTGAATAATATAACTGCCATCTGCTGTATCTCTCCTTTGTACTCTTTGTGAGCGCACAGGAGGTTTTTTAAAGCTGTATTTTATATAGACCCCTGTGAACTTATCAAGCAAAATCTAGGAAGTGATAAAATTTCTTGTGGACCTCAGATTCTGGATAAGTCTCTCTGGGGAGAGATGGCACCCCAGCAGCACATGGTGTGCTGAGCAGCCCCTTCGCTGTGCCTGGACAGAGTTTCCTGATACATCACATTCTTGCTGCCGACAGTGACGACATCTTCACAAAAGCATATGATGATAAATGCTCCTTTCAGACAGAAAAATAACCCTGATCTTATCTCAGACTGTTTATCTTGTTCCCAGTTCAGCCATGTCAACAAGAACTCTGCGCATGGGCTACAGCCTCCACATTGCTCATAGGAGAAAACAACTCTACTGAACAGCTTGAAAGAGATTGAATGTTCTGTTTGGGTTGGGGTTTATTTTTGTCTATTTGGTTGGGTTTTTTGCTTTGGATTTTAATTTGTTTGTTTTTTAGTAATGCACACAAGAAAAAGTTCTATTGTCCCAAGAGAAAGAAAATAGCCTAGAAATTAAGAGAACAACACAGTAGAAAATGATTGACATTTTTTTAAGCTTGTCTAATGAGTTTTTGAGTGGGAGACTGAAAAGGGCTTTTCTTCACTGAAGAGTCTCTAACAAGTCCTGGTTACTTGAACACAAGCTGATGAAATTTCCCTGATTTTTGGAGATAGGTCAGACAGCATGCAGTGAAAGAACTAATGGTGAAGTGCCTACATACAGAAAAGTTTACCAGATTCAAAATATTCATATACTTAGGAGAAAATTCGGTTGAACTTAATGATCATAAAGGTCTTTTCCAACCTAAATGATTCTGTAATTCTGTAAGGTAGGAAAAGTTAAACCAAAGTTACCAAAGTTACTTTCCTTTCCCTTCCATCCAGCGTACATTATCCAAGAAAGTGGTAGTGGAGGAGGTTTTATATTAGAAACAAAATTAAAAGGGGGGAAATATAAAACATAAATAGCTTGAATGGATCAGGCAGCTATTGCTTATTCTTCAAGTTTTCAGAAAAACTCATTAGAAGTATAAAACACAACAATTTCTCCATGTTTGAGGCAAAACTGTTCAATTCAGTACAGGCACACATTCCTGTTCTCCTTCAATGGCTTCTCACAGAAGTGGAAGGTTTTGTTGTTGTTGTTTTGTGTTTTTTGGGTTTTTTTGTTTGTTTGTTTGTTTGTTTGTTTTTGGTTTTAAGAGATATCTGATCTATGGGTGACTAAATACATAATTAAAGCAGACAGAAATGCAGTAAGAAGCCACCACAGCATCAGATGAAGAGTGCGGGTAGGTTGGAAACCTGCTCAGCTGAAGGAGAGAAAATGCCAATGTTTTAATTCAGAAACTACAGCTCTGGTCTCCTCTCGCTGTGTCTCCTGGTCCTTGGAAGCAAACACTGCTGAGAAGTCAGAGTTGCACGTTTGCATGGGCAGCTGACAGCAGCAGCAGCGCCACCACAAGCCTCTCAGCTGCCTCAGTAACTCTGTGCTGGCTTTTCCAAACTTGAACTGCAAAATAAATTTTCACGTGCGGCATCTTACTTTCTCTTTACTGAAAAAAAGTGCAGTTACTGAGGCTGCTGTCACAAAAGCAGAACTGCCAGTTTGTGGCTATTTGGGTTCTGACGCAGCTCCTGTGCATGGAGGATGACTGGTCTGAAGTGTCTCAGCATACCATAATATGTACAATCTGGTGTAATCTTCTGCTCTAGACTTAAACCCATGTATACACAGCCACTGAAGAGTTCAGTCGTTCTCAACTGCTTTCAAAGACTTACAGTCCTAACACATAAAGACACCTTAAGATTTGTGCCTGCTGAGGTTGCAGAAGAGGAAAAAATGTGTCTTCTATTAAACGCGTTTATTCCCAATAATATGTTAAAGTTCTCCTTGAAACCAACATTACTAAGAAAAATATTTTACTAATTGCTCATTAAGTCCAATGTTGTGGCAACAGGGGATTTCAGGTCAAATTTTGAGGCTGAAGAGATGTAGCAAACACAAGTCTTTGCTATATAGTGTTATCATATACATCCAAATACACCATCCCTTCCGAAGCAAACAGTTAATACTGTATCAGACACAAAATTATATCAATTTAATTTAATTTTAATATTAATAACTAAAACTCACTAGACCTGATAATTTGTTTTGACCTTAACAATGTTAAAATGGAAGAATATCCTACGTATATATAAAGTGTAACAAAGATATTCTGGTTACACAAAAGAATGAAATGCAAGTTAGAATTCTAAAGAAACTATAAGCCTAAGGAAATTAGAGTATTGGAGACAAGGTAAAATATTACCATGAGAAAGACCTCGGGTCATATGGTGTTAAGGAAAAAGGCATAAATCATCACATGCATATGCTTTTAGAATATCTCAACTTTTGGTTTAATAACATTAAGTATTTATTTGTAAAAAGATAGCTCTAATATAAAAACCAATTGGCCAGAATCTCTTTAAATGAGATATGGAATTATAAAAGAAATACTAAGAGTTGCAATATTTTATACTTAACCTTTTAGCTGGACATAAACCAAGCCATTCAAACTGCTTACCATTTGCCTTGTTCATTTATAAACTGTTGAACTGCATATCCAAACTGCTCTCTTGGTGGACCAGAAAATATTTTTGCTTCCAGGAGCCCAACATTGTAGGCTTCACAGCAGTTATGAAGAATGCCTGTTAACAGAAAGATTATAACAGAAGCAATTAAAGAAGAATTTTGATCCCAGTGAAAAAGTCTCTTCATCTGCGACAGCTCCCCCAACAGAAGAAAATAAATACAGCCTTTGACACATGCTTGAAAAAACAGCGATATTGCTACAGTACCCTGGCCATGTGAAATGCCTCTGTAGCTCTCTTTATGTGTGTTGCATTACTGTGGGCAGAGATCAGTGACTCATTCACTGTTTGGCTTAACAAAAGTTGCAGCGTTACTAATGGGAATGTTTTAGCTGAATGGAGACAAAATGTGTGATTCAGACGTCTGTTATCCTCCTTTACCTTCAGGCATGAGTTAAGCTTATGGCACAGCAAATACATCAACAGCCTGCTGAGGTACACTAGAATCACAGAATCTTTTAGGTTGGAAAAACCTTGCTGACCCACTGCCAAATTCACCAATAAATCATGTCTCCAAGTGCTACAGCTAAATATCTTTTAAAAACTCCCAGGGATGGTGATTCCACCACTTCCCTGGGAAGAGTGCTTCAGTACTTGACTTCCTTTTCCAGGAAGAAATTTTTCCTAATTTTCAGTTTAAACCTTCCCTGGTGCAACTTGACCTCATTTCTGCTTGTGCTATTGGTTGTTACCTGAGAAAAGACACTGAGCCCCACCTGGCCACAGGCTCCTTTCAGGGAATTGTAGAGAGTGATAAGGTCTCCCCTGAGCTTCCTTTTCTCCAGGACAAACACCCCCAGCTCCCTCAGCTGCTCCTCACAGGCCTTGTGCTCCAGACCCTTCCCCAGCTCCATTGCCCTTCTCTGGGCTCATTTCTTGCAGTGAGGGGCCCAGAGCTGGACACAGCACTTGAGATGTGGCCTCACCAGTGCCCAGTATGTAATGAACAGAAAAGCCTCCCTGGTTCCCATGGCAATACTAGGATGACTGCTGGCTTTAGCTGAGTACTGATACTGAAATGTTCATTAGCTAATTGCTCTGTTTGTTTACTCTAAAATACCTGGAGATCACCTGTCCCCACCCCTTCCCCCCTCCCCCCCCCACTCCCCTGGCCTTCTAGGACTAAGATGCAAACAGGGGAACCAGTGGAATGGGAGAGTGTTTTGGGGGATAAAGACACCCCTAAATGGAGAACTAAACACAGTAGAGGAGGCTGGACAGGTGCCCTGGCTGAGGAAGAGGGAAACACATCCCCTGCTCGATATTTGACCTGTCACCATCACTACAGAAGAACAGACTGGAGTGGGCTGTGGGAAGCAGGAACGAAGAGGCAGACCTTCCTGGTGTTACCGCAAGGAAAGGGGAGGGGACAGCTGCTGATCGCAACTTCAGCAACAGGCTCTGCACACCTCCTCACCCTTCGGCTACCTGGAAAAAGCTACCTCTGCCCAGCAGATCTTTTTAATAAAGAGCTGAACATAATAAAGGCATTAGCCCTGTTCTTTTCACAGCACAGGGGGACAATCCCTGCCCTGGTCCTGCTGCCACACCATTGCTGATCCAGGCCAGGATGCCATTGGCCTTCTTGGCCACCTGGGCACACCCTGGCTCATGTCCAGCTGCTGTCACCAGCACCCCCAGGTCCTTTCCAGCCACTCTGCCCCAGCCTGTGGCACTGCCTGGGGCTGTTGTGACCCAAGGGCAGGACCTGGCACTTGACCTTGTTGAACCTCACAGCACTGGCCTCAGCCCATCGATGCAGCCTGTCCAGATCCTCTGCAGAGGATGTGCAGCAGATCAACACTCCCACCACTCAACTTGATGTCACCTGAAATCTGACTGAGCATGCACTTGATCCCCTCATCCAGGCAATGGAGATATCGAAGCAAAACTGAGCCTTGGAACACCACTTGTGACCATTCACCACCTGGGTGCAATTCCATTCACCTCAACTTTTTGTGCTCAAACAAAATGCCCTGACTGTATCTGCTCATACTGTTTATATTTGAGTTTGCAGCACTGGAATAAAAATGAGATTATCAGCTGCATCATAAAACCTAAATTTTTGAGTAATTTCATTATCATGCCAGAAGCTTTTGTTTTCAGTCCAAACAGTCTGAACAGTTGTCCAAACAGGAAAACTTAGAACTATAAACATGCAAGGTAGAACAGCATTAATAAATTGTGACATTTAACATTGTAGTTCTACTTAGATGTGGTTTTGTTCTTAATTACTTTTCCTTGGTCACTTATGTGCCTGGGTATAATGGTGTGCCATTCCATGCCATTTTGGAAGGAACTGGCTATGTAAACTGGGGACAAAATTGATTTTATAGGACATGGGAGTCCACTCCTCATTCACAAAGGGCCTGATCTTTTTCTGGTCAAGAACTATAGGTGGCTACCTAAGAGAATAAGCACTGGGAAGGCTGCAGGGAAAAGACCAGACTCCCCTGAGGGACTCTGCTGTGAGTAGGTAACTCCTTCCCCACTGTGGAGGTGGAAGAACTGAGACAACAGTGGGATTCCAGGAACAAGCTACAGCCCAACGGAGGAACACCTCAGAGCTCCTGAAAAGTGTCCAAAAATGGCAGTGATGGAAGAAATCATGACTTGTGATTTCATTGTGCAGCCACTCCCTGAGGTTCCTAGATGAGGTAGGTTCACAGAGCTGCTCATGGGTTAAACAATGTCCCTCATGTTTCCCCTCCCTTCCTGTGTGCCCAGACAGAATGAGTTTTATCTGCTTTACACACAAATATGCTTCACCACGATTACTTAGTATGAGTCATTGCGTAGTAAAGAAGCAGCCTTTCCAATAATCCTTACAACAAGGATACTTTAAGGAGAGATGCCATTTTAAAAATATAATCTCAAATTCTAAACATTTCTCTAGTTTTGATGGGAGCTTACTGTTGGTATCACTATCTCCCAGGTCCCATGAGCAGTTTTGGAAGAGAGGTTAACAGGGTTTATATCAGCATGGAACAGTCCATCACAATAGCTGAATTGTAATAGTAAGAATGGTAATAAAATCATAGTGAAAATATTAAAATCACAGGTTTGCAGGCAAAGTTTATGACCTGTAAAAAGTATATTTTGTACCCCTGCCCTCACTATTCAAAAAAGGAGGATCTCTAGCGGAAGACTAAATACAACTCTAGAGTTACCACTTTTTTACCACAAACTCAAACAGGAAATCATATATTAGTTATCTCAAACAACCACATCTACAGTCAGCCTCTGGAAAGCAAGAAGTCACCCACTGCTAGAAGTATAGTTCCTGGAGAAACATCCTTAGAGATAAATATATTTCTTGAGTCAAGCTATTTAAGACTGGAAAAGAGAATGTGTACAGACTGATTACCTTGTTTTGCAAGTCTTTTGACACTAAACACAACCTCATATAATCACAGTTTATGTCTGGGTTATGAGGATAAGGAAATGGTGTATTGAGATAGTAATCAACAATTACCAGTAATTCCTTTGTGATCTAATATACTTGTATTTTATAAAAACATTTTTTTCATGTCATTCCCTGGTTTTTTGTT